GTTGCAGGAAAATATCTAAAGACAAATTTCAATTTCCTCTGTCCTCAGAACCCCCTTTTCACAGGCAATCGACTGTCCCCCTGTCTGACTTTCTTACCTGGTATTGAGATCCAAAATGCTAAAGAACATGCTTATCATCCTATTTCTTTAATTCATCAAAGCTGATCATTTTAAACCCCAATGTAAATTACAGGATAAAGCTCAGTTTTAAAGGTTGGTTTATTTTTATTTGAAAAGCCAATCTACAGAGAGAAGGAGAGACAGAAAGAGAGAACCTTCTGCCTGCCCCCACTGCATCTCCTGATTCACTCCCAATGACCACAAGGGCCAGAGCTGAGTGGATCCATAACCAGGAAATGACATAGTGGAAAAAAAAAAGATCCAATCTAGGAAACCACATCACATTTACTCCTCCTGTTTTCCTAGCTTCTGCCAACCAGTCAGTTTCTTGGGTTTTTCTTGGTGCTTTTGAAGATTTTCCCCAGTTTGGACTCTTGTGAGTAGGAGGGAGAAGAGTACAGTGGGATGTGTCCCTCAGACTGCCTCAGATCTGAGAGAATGTGACGTCAACATGGCTAAGTATTGATTCCTTGGGGGGGGTGGTTTCTGCCAGGTTTCTCTACTGTGCAGTTACTATTGTCCCTTTCCAGGCTGTGTTCTTTTTTTTTTTTTTAAAGATTTATTTTTATTATTTTTTCATTGGAAAGGCGGATATACAGAGAGGAGAGACAGAGAGGAAGATCTTCCATCCCCAAGTGAGCGCAACGGGTCGATACTATGCCGATCCGAAGCCAGGAGCCTCTTCCGGGTCTCCCACGCGGGTGCAGGGTCCCAAAGCTTTGGGCCGGACTGCTTTCCCAGGCCACAGGCAGGGAGCTGGAAGGGAAGCGGGGCTGCCGGGATTAGAACCGGCGCCCATATGGGATCCCGGGCGTGCAAGGCGAGGACCTTTAACCACTTGCGCCACCGCGCCGGGCCCCAGGCCGTGTTCTTTAGCTGTGAATCCTTGCAAAGAGAGAGGGATTGAGTTTCCTTTCCCAGGAGGAAAAATACCAAAGAATGTGTGACACCAATTTATAAGCAGTTATAAGCTTCTTGGGGGTGATTCCCTGAGGCTATGCAAATATCTTGCATTTCAGGCTTTCCAGTTGATTTTGGCATTCATCTGTGAGCCTGGCCTGCAGCAATTCTTGCTGTGGTGTTGCAAAGGCATTTTGGTTCTCCTCTATTCCTTCTGTATTTGTTAGCCAAACTTCGGTAGATGTGTATTTCAGAATGAACTCAGGGATATCTATTTTATTCTTTACTGTAAAACAAAACATTATCTCCAAAAATCAATATAATGTTAAATTCATGGGTATTTATATAAGCCAAGTCTCACAGTATGAAGGACCTACAAAATATTCATGGAAAAATGCATATTGTGAAAAAGCAATGTATGGATTTCAAAAATGTTTTGCACCAAACAGGAACTTGAAAAAAAAAAAAAAGATGTGTTTATTTGAAAGGCAGAGTTATAGAGAAAAGAGAGAACTTTGCATTCTCTGGTTCATTCTGGTTCAGTGCTGAGCTGAACCAAAGCCCGGAGCTAGGAGCTTCTTCCAGATCCTCCTTGTGCGTGCAGGAGCTCAAACACTGGGACCACCGTCTGTCACCTTCCCAAGCAGGTTAACAGAGAGCTGGATCAGAACTGGAACAGCCAGGATTTGATCAGGTGCCAATATGGATTTCCTTGAGGCAACAACTGTACCTGCTATGCACTGCAGCACTGGCCCTCATAAAGTGATCTTTCAGTTTAGCTTTTCTGCAAACTTTTTGAAGTGCCTTTGTACATTTATCTGAGCAAATAGTTATTCCATAAGTTTCCTAGCTCTTTTTGCTTTGTGATTCTCTTTTAATTATGCAACGAAGATATGCTATTTCTGGCACTATGGAAATAAGCAACTATCTTAATAAGTTAACTCCAGAACAGGTATCCTGATATCTGCCTACTTTTTTTTTTTTAAAAAAAGACTTGTTTATTTTTGATGGAAAGTCAAATTTACAGAGAAGGAGAGAAAGATCTTCCACCCACTGGTTCACTCCTGACGTGGCCACAGTGACTTGAGCTGAGGTGAAGCGAGGTGTTACTTTGGAGTCTTCTAGATGGATACAGGGTCCCAAGACTTTGGGCCATCCTCTGCTGCTTTCCCAGGCCAAAGCAGGGAGCTGGATGAAAAGTGGAGCAGCCAGGACACGAACCGGCACCCATGTGGGGGGCCAGAGCTTGCAGGCAGAGAATTAGTGAATTGAGTCATTGGGCTGGCGCCTCCTTAAGTTACTTAAAGGTGATGCCCATTAATATTCACTTGCATTAACACATTTAAATTTTAGGTTGTCTAATATAATTTATATATGTGCTATAACTTAAATGTGAGAAGTTTATCTACTAAATCACTTGAAATTGGCATTTGTTTTCACAGTTCTTATATGGGGATAGAGACCACATCTGTTCAGTTCTGGAAAATAATTCAAGTGATTCTGGAACAAAAATTTTATTTCTCCAATACGGAAGCAGGCACGCTTCTTCCTGACTAGTTTGAAATGAGAGATCTGAGATTCTTGTAGACCTCCACAAAGCCAGCATCTTGAAAGCAAAGATGTCAGATAGTTCTATTTTTATTTTGTTCTGAATATCCACCCAGGCTCTGAAATTTAAATTTCTTGAGTAGTGCCTCTCTTCAACACGTTCATTTACAGTTTAGGTACACAATTGTTTGAATATTCTATACTTTGGGGCAAGACTTTTGGAATCTGGTAGCAGAAAATAAGATGGGAACAGAGAGGCAGCAATAGAAGCAACTGTGTTAAATTCATTCCTGTGCTCGCCAGTACTTTCTGAGCAAGCACGCAGGCTCTGTTAAAAAAAAAAATAGCATTCTGGTTTCCAGACTGGCAATTCACCTGGAGCCATGGCAACAAGATTAGTCACTGCCTTCCTTCCAGAAACTATACACACTTGTACCAAGACTTGTGGTAGCTAGTGTGTGGGAGCAGAAAACAGCGCGGAAATATGTAGACGCCTCCCTAGTCAACACGGAATGTTCTTTAAGCACATCTGTCATTTCCAAATCACTTGATTCTCACATTCAGATTTCTTTGATTCTACAGAAAAGCTCATCACGTTTACACTAAAAATTCTTACCCTAGTCACTCCCATACATCGTTTCCCATTCTATAGCTATGCCTGCTATGGCTTGGGCATAGTCTGTCCACCAGGCCAGTATTTAGGCACAGGGAATTAACCCACCACTTGTTGCAGTTCGTGGCTTAACCTGCATAATGCCGACCCCGGTGATAGTTTGTTAAAAATATACAACTTGAGGGGGTCCTGGGAGGCCAGGGGCAGGTGATGCGCCCTTGGTCTGGGGGAGGAAAGGTGAGAGTGGAGGACAACACCAAAGAGGTTAAACAGGTTTTTGTCCCTCATATGTTCTTTGGCCTGGGCCCAGGGTTGGAGGGTTTTATGCCTACACCCTATGTATACAAGAATCAGATTTAAAAGACTGTCTCTTTTTTGGTTCCATGTGAATGCTACAGAACAGATTATTTAGAACAAAATAATTTCTGGTACTGGCCATTACTGCTAGATGGGGAGTGAACCAGTAGATGGAATGTCCCTTGCTCTTTCACTTAATCTCTCTGATTTCCAAATAATTAAATCTTTAAGGAAAAAAACATCAAATTTTAAATACCAGATAATACATATGAACTATTTAGGTGAGAACTGGGTGAACTGAAAGCATACATACGGTCAAAGCAATTAATTGAGGCTATCACAATTCAGGTGATGTGGCAGGGAAATTCACTCTTTTTAAAGACTATTTTTCTTGGAAAGGCAGATATACAGAGGAGAGACAAAGATCTTTCATCCAACCATTGCTTCACTCCACAAGTGGCTGCAATGGCTGGAGCTGAGCCTATCTGAAGCCAGGAGGCAGGAGCTTCTGGGTCTCCTACATAGCTACAGGGTCACAGGGGCTTCATCAGGTCGTCCCCTGCTGCTTTCCTAGGCCACAAGCAGAGAGCTGGAAGTGCAGCAACTGGAACATAAAATGGCACCCATACAGGATCCTGATACATGCAAGGCAAAGATTTAGCCACTAGGCTATTGCACTGGGGCCTAGAAAATTCATTCTTTTTATGGAGTTGCCAGTCAGTAATATAATTTTTTTTCTTCAATTTGAATGGCATAGAGACAAACAGGGAAAGATAATTCATTCATTGATTTAATTCACAAATGCTTGTAGCAGTCAGGGCGAGGGCCTAGAATGCCATCAGGCTGGTATCCCATGAGAGGGCCCCATATTAAGAGTGGCTGGTTTCCATTCTGACCCCAGTGTCCTGTTAAAGCAGATCCTGGGAGGCATGGTGATGACTCATGTGATTCGGTTCCTGCCACACCACGGGGGGACCTGGATTGAGTTCCCACCTCTTGGCTTTGGCCCCACTTGGGGGCCACTGTGGTCACTTGTGGATAGAACAGAAGAAGAGTTCTCTTTCTGTCCTTTGACTCTGCCGAAGTAGGCAAAAATAAATTTAAAAAAATATCAGTTGCATGAGGGAGATGAATCAATAGACCTATAGGTGGCAGTGTTTACTACAATGACTACATGCATCAGCAGAATGGCAATGTGGGAAACCACCCTGGGGTGGGGCAAGCTCTGGTCTGCAGTGCTGGCATCCCAATGGAGGCTGCTCTACATCTGATCCAGTGGAACTTGGTCAAAAAGCCTGGGCCCCCCCGTACCCACATGGGACACGTAAACGAAGCTGCCAGCTCCTCCCTTTGGCCTGGTCCAGCCCTGACCCTTTAGAGAGCAAATCGGCCGTTAGAAAATCTCTCTCTGCTAACAATATTCAAATAAATAACTTTTTAAAAAAACAGGGGTATACATGGCAGACCTAGGAATTCTTATTAGAGATGTCAGAGAGCGTTTCATAAAAAAAAAAAAAAAACCCTCGGTAGTGTCGATGATACTGATCATTTCCTTTTAGCTTCTTAACAGGTTGTAACCAATAACCAAGGACCTTTAGTAGAGGAAAAAAATGAAACTGATTGTTACATTACTTTACATTTGATAAAATGTTCCTTTAAAGATGCACATTCCAGCCTACCATGAACGAGTGATGAGTTCATGCCATAAAGCTTAGCAAAACCAAGACAGATTTCCCTCCTAAACAATAGGGAACAATTTATGAAATATACTAAACCTAAGAGGATTGAAACTCATGATTGTTCTTCTTTAAGATTTATTTTATTTTTATTAGAAAGTCAAATATACAGAGGAGGAGAGACACTCCCCACGCTGCTGCGGTGGCTAGAACTGAGCCGATCCAAAGGCAGGAACCGGGAGCTTCTTCTGGGTCTCCCACGTGGGTGCAGGGTCCCAAGGCTTTGGGCCATCCTCGACTGCTTACCAAGGCCACAAGCAGGGAGCTGGAAGGGAAAGGAGGCTGCTGGGATTAGAACCAGTGCCATATGGGATCCTGGCATGTGCAAGGTAAGGATTTTAGCTGCTAGGCTTCCATGCTGGATCCTCATCATTGTTTTCTTTCAAAAACTGCTTTCACATTCCATTGAGAAACCTGAGATGTGCAGCTGCGTGCTCTAGAACACTATATTAACCAGTTCAAATTGTTTCCTTTTTTACAAACTACAGAATATCTAGGAATGCTAATATCTCATAGAGTTAAGAGTTTAAGATCGGTATTGTGCAGTGGGTAGAATGACCACCCGTGATACCAGCAGCGCATAAGGGTGCTGGGTCCTGTCCCATCTACTACTCACCTCTGATTCAGCTCCCTGGGAATGGCCAGGAAAAGCAATCGAAGATGGCCCAAGCCAACCAAGCTGAAGGATATTGGGTTCTCTATAATGAACCAAGGCAAATCTGTCTGCCTTTCACTGTGAGAGACGCTGTCTTTACTAGACAGCGAATGTACCAAGCTTGCTTACTGTACAAATAATCACCCAGGATAAAGGGTGTATAGAAATTCAAGAGATCTATATAAACTTTTTCTGACAAGAAGAGATTCTTTTAGTTTGAATTATTGCCACTTTTTAAAAAAGACTTATTTATTTTTATTGGAAAGTCAGATTTACAGAGAGGAGCAGAGACACAGTGAGGAAGATCTGTTGGCTGGTTCACTCCCCAAGTGGCCGGCCACAATAGCCTGAGCTGAGCTGATCTGAAGCCAAGAACCCAGAGTTTCTTCTGGGTCTCCTATGCAGGTGCAGGGTCTCAAAGCTTTGGGCCATCCTAGACTGCTTTCTCAGGTCACAAGCAGAGAGCTAGATGGGAAGCGAGGCTGCTGGGATTAGAATCAGCATCCATATGGGATCCCTGTGTGTGCAAGGTTTGGACCTTAGCTGCTAGGCTACTGCGCCAGGGCCAAATTATAGCCACTCTTGTAGCTCTAAACTCAGATGAGGGTTCATCTTTTAAAAATATATTTAAATCTAGTCACGGAATTTAGCTACATTTACTAACTGGTATTATGCTTTGTATTTGCTGTACGGCCATTAGAAAACACCATACTAGTCATAATTATAGGTATCCATCCATAAATTACTTTTATTTCTCATTAAATGAGCAGAGTCATTAGCATATTAATAACAGATATGTTTATTATTACATATCCATCAGTGCGGCTTTTAATACCACTTGAAACATGCATATCATCCTAGAGACGATCAGTTTTCCAGTGCTTCTTATTTGATACACATTACTGCAAAGCCATTATAAATTACTGAGGAGGTATTTGGTTAAAAAAATAAACAATAAATCATACTGCCCTTATGAGTCAACTCTTGTAACTGGGTAAGAGTTTAACAGTATTTATCTTGTAATTCCTATGTTAACTGGAAAACATCATAAAGTGTTACCATAATTTTTTTATACTGGTGCAGCCTTCTACATTTTGCAGACAGTTTTATTAAGACATTTAACATTGTAGCAGGTAGTCTGATGCAAAGATTGTACTTAATTTATCAAAGGCCAACAAACCTCTAAATAATTAAACCAATTATCAATGAAAAACCTACTGTCATACGTAACCTTTTGAAAATGTTTTCTGAAATTCCTATGTTTACTCATGGCAGTAAAATAATTCTCTCAAATTAAGGCACTAAAAGGGCAATTCAACTCCCATTGAAAGTGTTCTAAGAATAATTTACATTCCAAACAGTGCATACATTTTTATGTTTGTTAACTTAATGTCTTTATCACTTAAAACCACAAGGAAATACATTATACAATTACAGGCATGATGTAGTCCACAAAACGCTTTGAAACTTGGTTCTTTTGTACAGTTAGTTCCTAATGTCTCTAGTAGTAAAAGAACTCAATATGGCTTGGCAAAATGCATAGATTAAATGTAATTTTCTTGTCTTTCCCATTCCCCATTCTACAAACTTGCTGAGACATATACAGTATTCTGTAAAGCAAAATGTAAGCTATTAAATTTCTCCATTAAGTCCACCAGGGAAATCAACAGTAAGGCTTTTTAAATTCTACAGTGTGGGCACTGAAGTTCAAGTGATACCACTGCCTTCTGAAAATAGTTTAGTATAGTCTTGCAAGAGCACAAAAACTTAAGTCATAAAAAAATTTTCAGTCTGTCTCATTTTGAGATATTTTCTTTACTCCTTCCATGAGCTGATCTTGATAGTGATGGCCGTTCCACTTGAAAGTGAAAGTCCCTTCTCACGCAGATGAGGAAAACTGTTCTATCACAATTGACAGGCGTTTTCTAAAAATTCAAAAAGGCAGCACCTTTTTTTTTTTAAAAAAAAAAAATCTAGCTAAGCTTCCCCCAATTGTATTTGCATTACATAGTAATAATTAATCTAATCTACCTGTAGGCAAACCCGCAAAAAAAAAATTTTTTTTTTTCCCTCAGTGTGCTTTTGTGCCAAAGCAAGGACAGAATAACAGCAATCATAACCCTGAAGCCTGTGATACTGTGTGAAAGAAACAGCCTGTCTGCTCTGCTTGGTTAAAGAAGCCTGGTTTATCAGGTACCAGTCCACATGATTCCATGAAGCAGTAGGTCACACGGTTAACTGTTGGGGAGAAGCAGAGACACACACAAAAAACTTAATTAAGAAATGTACTCACTTCAAAATTGCAAGAGACAAATACTGGAGGCAAAGGAAAATACATGTACTTTCACTTGAAATAATTAGCAATTACATAAGATTTAGAACATAGACAAAAGAAAGATATACTCAAGTTTATTTCTTTTTGTTCTTACTATTTTCATTTTTAAAAAAGATTTATTTGTTTTTATCAGAAAGGCAGAACTACAGAGAGAAGGAGAGACAGAAAGATCTTCCATCCGCTGGTTCACTCCCTAATTGGTTGCAAAAGCTGGAGCTGAGCTGATCCAGAGCCAGAAGCTTCTTCCAGGTCTCCCACGTGGGTGCAGGATGGGAAGCAGGTTAGCCGGGACAGAAACCATTACCCATATGGAAAATTGGAGGATGCAAGGTGTAGATTTAGCTAGTAGGCTACTGTACCAGGTCCTGTACCTACTATTTTCAAACATATTACGTAATCAAAATAGGTAAAGGTTGAACTAACACTGTACAGAATCCAGTCAGGAGGGAAATAATGTAACTGAATGGTGTGGCAGCTGGAGAATACAGAGGAAGGAGAGGCGGTAAAACATTTCAAAGAATTAGAAATGGTTACTGGCAGTGGGAGGCAAGAAAAAGGATAAGTTAGACAGTTGTAAGCCTGCCCGGAAGACAGCAGTAATGTTAACAGAGTCAAATCAGTGTTACGTCTTGGCTTACAGACTCAAATGGCCCTCTAAATTTAGAGATTAGGTTTAAGATAATGTTGGTATTTATTAGGAGCAAAAATTAGATTTTAGAATTAGACAAAAATAGGTCCAACTGATGGTGTGATTTTGTGTAAGTTAAGGTGTTTAACTTCTCTGGCTTCACATATTCATATGAAAAGTAAAAAGCTAATGAAATAAAACTTCAAGAAAAGCTTATGTCCTTTAAGCTTTATATATCGATAGCAACAATTTTTGGAAAAAAATTCCATCAAAAGCAGTACTACTTAATCGGGAAGTTTTCTGGCAACACTACAGTCACTGATTATATCAAATACTTTTGATATTTCAAAAACATCTATGCGAACATAATTTAAAAACCTTTTTTTTAAAAAAAAGTTTAGATCAATCTATTTTCCTTAAAGATATAAAGATATAAATACAAGTAAATTAAAACATGTAACATCACATATGCATCATATATACAGATCTATGAGAATAAAATTTGACATGGCACTACATGGATATCACATTAATGTATAATTTATAAAGTACTGAAACTGTAAGTTATACATAAATATCCAGTAAGAAATGGATGCCATCTGTGGTGAAAAATAGCCAATTACTGAGATTTTAGTAGGTGTTATCTAATCACTTCCACCTTTGTTAAAAAAAAAAAGGTTAACATCTTGATTTTTACCTAGCTTTTCCAGATGTATTTTTGACCACTTTCCGGAAAGACTGATTTGCAGTGGATCTGGTAGAAAGCGTTCGAGGGGAGGCACGGACGAAACCAGACGGTGGATTCTTAGGGATCTTCTTCACTAAGTGAGTTACCCATTTTTTTTGTTCATCCTGAGAGCAGGCTAGGAGCAGCATATCTCTGGCTGACGTTACATCGTAACTCACTGTCCGGGAAATGAAAGCACAATTAAAACCCCTTAATACTAAAGAAAAAAAAGATGCATAAGTTCTCAAGTTTTAAAAATTTTGGCATGCCTACTTAGCTTGAAAAATACTGTTCTTCAATGAAAAATTAGAAATAGGGAAAAATGGAGAAGTGAAACAAATAAACATATTTATAGAACTTACACCTCTGATCTTAAAATAGCTATACCCTGCAGTTTTTACACTGAGCTATCACTGCTACTTTAGAAGATATTTTTGTCTACCAAACAAACACAAAGAATACAGTGAAATACAGTGAAATTCACTCATAGAACTTTTTTCAAAGTTAATTTCTTCATGACATGAACTTAACAAGGGAGTGAGTTTCTGCGACAATGTTCAACACTGTGAAATGAGCACTACATCTTGTTCCACCAGTGCCAAAATATCACTTCTTGTAATCTGCCTCTTTTCATCTTTATACTAATAGAAATCGCTACACTCAAAACAAAACCTGCTATAGATTTTTTGAAGTAATTATGATACCTTACCTTTACATGGAGAGATTAAGTCCTCTTTCTTATCCAGGTGGTCTCTGTGGCACTTGAAGTGGCACCTGCGACACTCTAGGGCAGGAGGTGGCTTGAAGACATGCCACAGAGGCTTGGCACAGGCCTCACAGTTGGCGGGGAAGTGGTAGAGCGTAGGAATGAACTCATGGCCTTTGTGATTCTGGAAATTGGTTTTTTCAGCTTGTTGTACTGGTTCCACCTCAGCATCTTTTCTACATTCACCTTCATTTGCATATAGTATCTATAATCAGGAATGATAAAAAGATGTCTTCAAAAGATCCTAGCGTATACATACACATTAAAGTTCCAATGTATAAAAGGATTGGGTATTTTTAATTTACTTCACAAACATATTCAGCATTAGGTAAAAGCTTTTAAATTACAAATTCAATTTTTTTACCTGAAATATTTTAGGAATTTCTTCTGTCTCAGCTCTGTATACATCTCCTTGAGTTACAGGTCGAACATGAAACAATTTACTAAAGTGAAAACAAACACAATAGAGACCATTATACAAACTCATTATACTCGTTCATTGTAAAAGACATTTTTCTGAAGTGAACATACATGTGGCAAGTAAGCAGATGAAAGCACATGGATCAACAGCACAAATTTTAACAATGCATATTTTTAACCACAAGGAGCATCACTGTACTATCAGAATTTTAAAGATAAAAATAATATTCACATCAAATGCTAGTGAAGATACAGAGCAGCTAGATCACTCACACACAGCTACAGAAAATTTAAATTTGCAGATTCAAATTTATTACAAATCTAAATTAAGTGCATACTTATCTTAGGACCCCGAAATTGTACTCTTGGGTCTTTATTCTAGGAAATGAAAATTTATGTCTATATAAAACCCTGTACTGGAATGTTTACAGCAGGTTTACTTACACTAGACAAAAGCTAAAAACAACCAAATGAATGGTTAATCAAGTTCAAAGCATGAAACTACTCACCATTAACAACAAATAAATTGCAACTTTGAGCTCAAGGAAACTAATGTAAGTAAAAAGAGCTGATCACAAAAGATTAGACTACTTTTATTTAATTTATGTAAAGAGAGAGAACAGATTAGTGCTGCCAGGGGTCAGCCATGCTGGGTGGGGCCCTGCAGCTGCCTGCTACTGTCAAGGGCAGCGCAGGGGTCCTGCTCTGGACATGTTCTGTATTTTGACTGTTGCGGTGGTCATATGAATCTACACATGTGATGAAGGCATGAAGACCGAACCATAACAAAAACGAAGCTATAATTATCTGAAGACATGATTGTATTAATGTAGAACATCCCATGAGGCTAATTAAAAAAACTTGACACTAGTAGCAGGTACACAACAAGATTAGAGGGTTTGAAGTCAATGACAGTAAAAAAAAATTAACAAAGAACAGACCCCCATGTAGAGAAAAAAAAAAGGCTTAACCACTGCCTCTTATTAAATAAAAAAAGTGATTTGAAATTGTGCAAAGCTTAAAGAATACCTTAAGAAACTGTAGGCAGGCAAACATATTTTGGAATAAAAACAGCAGTCACTTTAAAAATCCGATGCACTGATCTTTTCTTAAAGTATCATTAACCAAATGACTAAGGTAAGGTTTGCCACAGACTGTGAAATACTTGCATTACATTTACTTTTTTCTTTTTTAAATTTGAGGGGCACAGAGGCAGAGAGAGACAGCACCAGTTCCCATCTGCTTGTTTATTCTCCAAACGCTCGCCAACAGCCTGAACTGGGCTGACATAGATGCCAGGAACTCAGGCTTCACTCTGGTCTCCCATGCAAGTGGCTGCCCTCCACTGCTTTCCCAGGCCATAAGCAGGAGCTGGATGGGAAGTGAAGCAGCCAGCACACAAAGTGCTTGCAAGGGGAAGATCAGCCAGCTGACCCATCACATTGACTCCTCATATTAAAGGTGATTATTCCATTTAAGCCGATTGCTTAAGTTGTCAAAACCAATGATTTTCTTTAAAAAAAAAAAAAAAATTAGTGAAACAGGTGGAAGACCTGGGTTTGAGTCCTGGCTCTGCCTCTGAATTCAGCTTCATGTGCTATAAACCCTGGGAGGCAGCATTGATGGCTCATGTGACTGTTGCTGCCACCAATGCAGGAGACCTGGATTGAGATTCTGGCTTCAGCTCAGCAGTATAGCTGCTATGGGCACTCAGGAGTAAGCCAGCATCTCTGAGCTCTTTAATAAAAAGTAATAATATAAAAGGGGGGCTCTCCAAAAAGCATCAAGTAAACATACTATAGCACCTGGCTCAATTCATTTTGCATTATCTATCTATCTATCTATCTATCTATCTATCTATCTATCTATCTATCTATCTAAAAACAGCTTCATAGGCTCTGGATTCTTATTTATTTATGTATTTATTTAAATACAGTTCCACCCTCCCCCTACATTATTACAATAGTATAGTCCTTCAAAAACAGTCCTAAGTAGGGCCCGGCGGCGTGGCCTAGCAGCTAAAGTCATTGCCTTGAACGCGCAGGGATCCCATATGGGCGCTGGTTCTAATCCCGGCGGCTCCATTTCCCATCCAGCTCCCTGCTTGTGGCCTGGGAAAGCAGTCGAGGAAGGCCCAAGGCTTTGGGACCCTGCACCCCTGTGGGAGACCCAGAAGAAGTTCCTGGGCTGCTGGCTTCAGATCGGCATAGCAACGGCCGTTGCGCTCACTTGGGGAGTGAATCATCGGACAGAAGATCTTCCTCTCTGTCTCTCCTCCTCTCTGTATATCTTTCCAATAAATAAATAAATCTTAAAAAAAAAAAAAATTCCTAAGTCCATCATTCTGATATTTAATTGTGTCCTGATATTGAGTCTTTATACAGTTCCTCTAGATGACTATTGTCCATGCATGTTGATCTTGTATTTTCTATGAAGGTTGGCTTACATCAGAAAGAACATACAGTCACTATGTAAGTCAGTGTGGAGAGTGCTAAGAGAACTGAAAATTGATCTGTCATATGACACAGCTATTCGACTTCTGAGAATATATCCAAACAAAATGAAATCTGCATATGAGAAAGTAATATGTAATCATATATTTACAACAGCAAAACCTACAATAGCAAAAACATGGAAACAACTCAGATGCTCATCCAAAGAGTGGATAAAGAAACTGTGGTACACCTACTCCATCAAATACTACTCAGTCATTTAAAAGAATGGAATTCTAGCACTTGCAACAAAATGGTTTCACCTAGAGACCATTTGGTTTAAATAAGTCAATCCAAAAAGTGCACTCTAACTGTAGTAAGTTCCACAAGTATTTAGTCACAAAGGAATGACAATATTTCACTTTAGGCGATGTTTACATTTCTCTTGAATAACACTTAACTACAGCTCACTTGTAATTTCTATTATGTTGCATATGTTTTACCTTTTCTACTGGTAGTCTGTAAGCTCCTTAAATATGGAGCTTACCATCTTTATACATATTACAGCATCAAAGGTAATAAAGGCAGGGTTTCAGAATGAATAAGGAAAGCAAACTATATTCTGAAAAATCTATATTACTAACAAAGGGCAGATATTTTTATTTATGTCTCTTAACAGCAACTAAAGAATTCTAAAATCTTTTTTTTAAAGATTTACTTATTTTTATTACAAAGTCAGATATACAGAGAAGAGGAGAGACAGAGAGGAAGATCTTTTGTCCGATGATTTACTCCCCAAGTGAGCACAATGGCCGGTGCTGTGCCGATCCGAAGCCAGCAGCCAGGAATCTCCTCCAGGTCTCCCACGTGGGTGCAGGATCCCAAGGCTTTGGGCTGTCCTCAACTGCTTTCCCAGGTGACGAGCAAGGAGCTGGATGGGAAGTGGAGCTGCCGGGATTAGAACCGGCACCCATATGGGATCCTGGCACGTTCAAGGTGAGGACCTTAGCTGCTAGGCCATGGTACCAGGCCCATGAATTCTAAAATCTTTAGATGACTTCTGAATCCAAGACCCTTAAACACTTTAAATATCTGTCCTTTCAATACATGGATTAGGTACACAAAGCTTCCATCTGACATCTTAAGATTTAACATAAGTTAAGAAATATTTAAGTTTGCTAAGAAATCAGAAAATTAAATAACACTGTTCAAATTAAAAGAATTTGAATTGCTACTTTAAAAATAATTGTTCATCACAAGTTAACACTCAATAGACATTAAAATTCAAAGACAACTTACTCTATGTCCAGTACCATGGACGGATTAGATTGCTCCTTATCCTGTTCATCATTATAGAACAAAATTTTTTTGCTGCTTACCACAACATACTGAAATGAAAAAGAAAAAAAAGGGAAGAGTTACCAAGAGAAACATTGAGTTAAAGTAACATGCATAATATTTATCATTTATATCTATATTATATAGTCTAAAATCAATGATAACAGAACAGTTAATACAATCATATACATCAAAGTATCAGAAAAAGATTAGGCATACAGTACCTGTTTTTTCCAGCCATATCGCTTAATATTTCCCCTATTTGGTACAGAAAGCCAACCTTCAATTCTTGACTCTAGGAGAAAAAGGATACACAGTACTGAGTTTTCCTTTGTAACACAAAGAAAAATTATTACAAGTTGATAGCATGCAGCAACAGGCAACTGAACACAACTAAATGAATAAATGCTGTAATACGGTCTTCCATGCTTCAATCACACAAATAAACTTTAATGGCCATACAGATATTGCACAAAAAATGCCAAGCCACTTTTTAATAAAATGAAAATTTAGTACTCAATTTAAAAAGTATGAAGTAACAATATTCTCAATAGCCAGGCAAGACTGGAATGGATTGCAGCTTAAATGGTACATGAAACAGAAGACTTTAAATTCAATAATTTAACATTCATATAAAAATACTTAGCCAAAAAAAATTAGGCAGCAAGTACAACAGTTCAGAGCCATGATTTACAACAAGGAGGAGCAAGCAAAAGTACAGAAGTAGCCTATTACTCACAGAAGACAAGAATAGAAGATAAGGAAATAAGGAATGCAGCAGAATCAACTAGGTATAAAGAATAAGAGACAAGCATTTTATTTGTTTTCTTAGCACAACATTCTGATATGACACACCCGTAATGATTACAATAAAACTGTTCAAATTTGATTGGGAGAGTGTTTAATTATCCTAAGTCCAATTACAATTCTTTCTCAACTAAAGACAGGTAGTCTAAGTCTATTATACCACAACTTAATAAAGTAAAAGAATGTAGAATTTAGTTGGTCAACTGCTAATGTTTCAACTCAGTTGCACACACCAGATAATGATCACCTCTGTTGTTCAAATGCAATGAATTCATAAATATCTAAGGATAAAGTGAACCTACTGGAAATGATTATTTCCTATCAAGTTGGAGATAAACATTTAAGTGTTTTCTAAACCTATCATACTGAAACACAAAAGAGAGGTAATCAGCTTAGGAGTAGGCGTCTATAATGCAACGGATCAGCTCAAACGCTCATATTACAGAAAGCGCTGTCTGACTACATAATTTAAAAGCTGTAAATGTCAGTCTTAGAGTAACAGTCAGTAAGTAATATTTAATGATATAACTAACCTTTTATACATAACATCATGAATATAGGCTAATTGGTTCCATGAATATTTATGAGACTATACATACACTTACAAGTGAAGACCTTAAAATGTAGCAAGGTAGAACTACTTTGCTATAAGCTACTTTGTCAATATCGGCAAAAGCTTTGGTACCAAACCAGATAGTCCAATTTCTGAGTTTGTTTCTAGGGCAGAACATCATTTTGTCATAAGTTGCAGTTACGTAAATTGAACAAAGCTTCTCTTGTTGCCATTTCCATTGTGTAGCTAATGTCGCTGCATTTTAGCTTGTGTTATTTGTCTTCATGTAGTATAGTAGTTGTTTTTATTTATTTTTATTTACTTCAAAGGCAGAGTGATACAGAGAGAGAGATAGAAGAGAATAATGAGAGCAAGCGAGTGATGGCACATCTTCCACTTACTGGTTCACTCCCCAAATGCCCTGCAACCGCGAGAGCTATAGGCTAGATGGACACAGAAGTCTGGAACTTCTGCGTCTCCAAGGAGAGTGGCCTCCATCACTTGAGCCATCACCTTTTGCCTCCCCAGAGGCACTGGGAGGCAGGTGGATTAGAAGCAGTGTAGCCAGGACTCAACCAGCACTCTGGGATGGGATGCAGGTTATCACAGATCTGGCTTAATCTTCTGTGCGACAATGCCCACTTCACAGTTGTTAAAGCAGTAAAATGAGATGGCTTCAGTTCAAAGCTATCTCTTATTTCTCCCAATCTTTCTATAAATTGTTGCTATTTAGGTCTGATTATTTCCTTAGTTTTGTGACACCACAAACTTTATCCTAACACTTGTTCTACTTATCTGTGACATCTGACAGAGAAGGTATTTATTAAATAACATGCAGAAGGATGGTATTATGCCTTGAACATTCACAAATATTTATTTTACAAAAGTAAAAAAGTTATCATAGAAGACTTCTTATCCCTTGGTAAGATGACAATTATGTCTTGTCATAATGTGTGGTCTTAAAATACTATAATGAACAGTAGTTGAGTGAAAAGTAGTCTTAATATCTAAAGATACAACTAGGGGGCCTGGTGTGATAGCCTAGCAGCTAAAGTCCTTGCCTTACAACGCATATGGGAGCCAGTTCTAATCTGAGCGATTCCATTTCCCATCCAGCTCCCTGCTTGTGGTCTGCGAAAGCAGTTGAGGATGGCCCAAGTCCTTGGGACCCTGCACCTGCATGGAAGAGGTACCGGGCTCCTGGATTTGGATTGGCACAGTTCCAGCTGTTGTGGTCGCTTGGGGAGTTAGCCTACAGATGGGAGATCTTCCTATCTTTCCTCTTCCATGTATATCTGCCTTTCCAATAAAAATACATAAATCTTTTTTTTTTTTAAAGGTACAACTAGGCTTGGGCCCGGTGCGATAGTGTAGTGGTTAAAGTCCTCATCTTGCATGCACCGGGATCCCATATGGTTGCTGGTTCCAATCCCAGCGGCCCTGCTTCCCATCCACTTCCCTGCTCGTCGCCTGGGAAAGCAGTCAAGGACAGTCCAAAGCCTTGGGACCCTGCACCCACGGGGGAGGCCTGGAAGAGCTCCTGGCTCCGACTGGCTCAGTTCCAGCTGTTGCAGCTGCCTGGGGAGTGAACCATCGGATGGAAGATCTTCCTTTCCGTCTCTCCTTCTCTCTCTATATATCTGCCTTTCTAATAAAAATAAATAAATCTTAAAAAAAAAAAAAGATACAACTAGGGTTGTTTGATATGGGTAATTCCTGAATGAAAATAAATAAATGAAAGTCTCTGAACTCTTAGACTTGTGCCAATGCGGGCCAAAATATCTACTCCCTACAGTTATTTCTGAGAATGAACGCAAAAAACCTTTGTATTTGGGCACTGGACTTGAGCTAATCTGCCAGTATTTTCTTTAATATATTTTCAAAGAGTTGTTCTATTTCATCGCTTTATCTGTCAATAATATGGTCCTATAGAAACATACGATTATAAGAATTATAACTCAGGGGAATTTTAAGAAATCAATTCAAACTTTCATATTTGTTTACATTGCAGCTAAAAGAAATAGAAAACTCAAATGAAAATGCTGACAATTTATAGACTTTTGGCAATTTAAACCATTTTATGGGACAAAATTTGAATTTTCCCTTCTGGTGAATTCCCTCTGAGAAGCAGCTGAATTAAACTAAATGATGATCTGAACACACACACCAGCTAGTTTCTTACGTACTGCCTTTCCTTACTCTCCCTAAACTTACCAGTAGTTTATAAGACCTCTAAAAACAGGACTACTTGTAACCTACAAGAAAATCTGAATGTATAATTTTATGAACTCTTTCACATTATAATAGAGAAATCAGTTGTTCCACATAAGTAAAACAAACTCGGGCTGAGAATTTCTAAGTTTAGATTACAGTCAGTAAAATAGCACTATGCAACTACAAACATTCAGCTGCAAATTTTATACATGTTATTGTAGAGAAATTTTAACTCACAAAAGAAATTACATGTGTATTACTTTACTACAGTATCAGGAAATGATTCCTTTAGTCACATAAGAGACTGACAGTCTAGTTATATGAAACACCAATATCCAATTTAAACTCTGAAGACTACCAAAGTTTACTTTCATCAACGATACACTGCTTAAGAAACAGAGGTAGAAAATCATTCCAAGATATTTTAAGGTGATTTAAAAATAAAATCAATCACTGACCAATAATTCAGATGGACTGATTATCATTATATCTTTGCTTAAATGATCTGGGTAAAGTCAGAAATCCTCACACAATCGAATGCAGCCACAGGCTAGGTTGGGCTGGACCACAGCACTCATCGGCTTGCAAAGGACATGGGGCTGGGGACATAACTGACCTGGCAACTAAAATTACCTATGTGTGTATACTCTGATGCAGGTGATGGACTGAACTGGACCCAGCACTTGCTGGCACATGCAAGAGTCAGGTCTGGGGTCCCCAGGTGAAGTTTCTTGGGGGACTCCCCTACTAGACACTGGACTCAAAACTCCAGCCACAGGGAGGACCATAGGATTTGTGGTCTGACCTTGGAATGCATGTATTGGGACTAGGCCTCCTTGATTGCTGATATTTGTTCAGTGGATAACATATGGGGGAAAAAATGGGCCAGCTCATTTAGGCCTGCAGAGGATGGCATGTGCCATGTCAAAAGATGGAGAACAGAACGGGTTGGACAACTCTTGGCTGAGCTTTGGCACTAAGCGTTTGGCTGAGAGGATGCACTGGGTGGATTCTCTCAGCCAATGGACCTTGGAAGGATTTTCTCAAGTTTGGAGTAACAAAATAGTCTCTCAGCACGATCAAAACTATTCAAGTAATACCCTGGGAATATCTCCACATCAGGGTTTCATCAGGGATGATATCAAGTGGACACCCGCCTTCCCACCCTCCCTTCCCTAAGACATAGGAGAAAAGGGAAGAAAAGGCAAATTGGAAGCCTTTGTCTCAGTCACTGTACCCCAGCCCTGACCCTCCACACCCTAATCAATGATCCTCACACGATTGCATCCTTGTCAATCAAACAAACAACATGAAGAATGGCCATTGTACTTTTCTTCTTTCCCTTTTCACTTGATTTGGACTTTGAGCATCTTGAAAAATAAAACCCCTTGAAAACATACCAATATTTTAAGTAACAGAATGAAGCCAGTAGAAACATTTAAAAATCTCTTTAATAAATGACTCCTAAATCAATTTATTAGGTAATCACTCTGATGACTAAATGAATTCCTAACTCTTCCAATAAAACTATCTAGTAGTCCTTTGAGTTTAATCCTCTTAAATAAACCAGAATGTAGCAAGAAACTCACTATGTTCTTCCCTAAAGGTCCCAAAAATTCACCTGTTCTAAATAACATTCACTAGTAATTTATCAGTCTCTGAAATGTCTAACTAAACACAAAGAACATCAATGCACACAAAAGTCAACATAAAGTTAAACAGGAGAAATAAAGGGAAAATGTGCTCAAATTTATAACTAATACTAAATACAATCAGAATTCCTTTATTTCCACAAATACCTGAAACTCACTGAAGAGGGAACTCAAACCGCAAGTTAAGTTTAGCAACTGAAAGAAGCATGTAGCCCAATGTCTGTAAGTCATATTCTTATTGAAGATTAGGCCTGACTTTGAAAAAATGTTTAATTAACAGCTGAAGCTGGTGGTTAAAACCAGTGATCCTCTGACAACAATGTGCACTTACAAGTTTCTCACCAGCAGGTGGTTTTAAAGATGCAACAATATTTCACCACAGTAGAAATATTCCCTCCCTTCCCAGACACCTGATTTAAATGTTTTCTATGAAAGGCAGAAAGAGGGAGGAAGGAAGGGATGGGCACACAGAGACAGAGAGACGTAGAGAAACACACACACACACATGCACACACAACCAGCCAGCCAGCCAGCCAGGGCTGTGCCAGACCATACCCAGAGACCTGGAACTCAACCTGGATTTCTACAGGAACACGGGCACACGAGGCACCATCTGCTGCCTCCCGGGGGAAGCACTTTGGGAGTAGAATTGGCACTTGAATCTAGGTATTCTGATACGGGACATGAGCATCCCAAGTGGCAGCTTAACTGGCCAAATGACCCCTCCCTCAAACTGATTTTTGGCAAAGCCACAAAGAATAAAGGCATGAAATATATGGTACAAAAACAGGAATTGGATGTACTTCCCATTTGAGGGCCAAGAAGACAGCAATTTTCTAAGCAGTTTATCAAGTTTTATTACATCAGATTCCCCCAAAACTAGCCATATCTATTAAAACAGAAACCCTTTAATATCAAGCATATTGCTTCATAAATATCTTTCTTAAGATATTAACTTTAAATGAATCTATTATTTATGAAATATACTGAGAATGTGTAATACATTAAGCATATTTGTATATACATATACATACAGTCTTTTGTATATTTCACTTCATTTTGAAATTAAACTGTAATATATGCTTTCTCATCTCTTTAAAAAAGACACAGGATACACTAAGAGCAAAGAATAAGGCTGTGTTTATTTTTTAAATCGATTATCTATTGGGGAAAAACCAAACACAGAAAAAAGTCTAAAGTCCTAGCCACTGCTGTCCACTCCCTTCCCCCTTAATTCAGTGCCCAACTCTTTTTATCTGTTTCTTCAAACTCAAAAACCTATCAAAGTCTGACTAAAATTTATCACTATTATATTAAGTTGGCTTTTTACATTCATTTTCTCTCTCTCTATATATATATGTATATACAATACTTATGCTAGCTGTGGTTCTGATTATGCAATATACTTCATTGCACTCAATTTATATTATTAGTAGGTCTTGACTATCAAAACCAAGAGTTTAAGAAGCCACAGACAAAATCGTAGAGGCAGAAAACCAAATGCCATTCAAGCAAACTTGAATGACATACTGGGATTACTCTTACCTGGAAGATTTCCATCAGCTTCATCAGCACTAGGAAAACTGGCAACACTTGTAGAATCCGAAAGGTCCAAAAGTTTAGCACGTAGTTGTTCAATATCACTCTCTTTGCTAGCTAACTGCATCTGAAGTTCATTCTTATGTGTGCATTCTTCCACCAATTGCTATTATTAAAAAAGATAAATGATCAAATGACAATAATTTCTTTAAAAATTTTTAAAATACATTTTTATTTTGAATTTTGAATTATGGTACAATTTTGTATAGTTTGGGATTCGCCCGCAAACTCCCACCCCCATCAGATTTTTCCCATTTTGTCACAATAGTGTAGTCCTTCATAAGGAATACTTATTCTATCAGTTTCTTATTTAAGTGTACCCCGACATTGCTGGTACAGACAATGTAATACAGTCCAGCATCCCACTGCAAATGACAATAATTTCAACATGGTAGCCTAGTGGGTAAATCCTCGCTGCTCCACTTCCCTTCCAGTTCCCTGCCTGCAGTCTGGGAAACCAGTGGAGGATGATCCAGATCCTTGGGTCCCTACACCCAAGTGGGAGACCCAGAAAATGCTCCGGTCTCCCGCCTTTGGATCAGCTCTGCTCCAGCTGTTGTGGACAACTGGGGAGTGAACCAGTGGATGGAAGATCTTTGTCTCTGCTTCTCTCTGTAAATCTGCCATTCCAATAACTAAATAAATCTAAAATAAAACCAAACCTCTCGGGCCCGGCGGCATGACCTAGTGGCTAAGAGGTTCCTGGCTGCTGGCTTCGGACTGGTGCAGTACCGGCTGTTGTACTCACTTGGGGAGTGAATCATCGGACAGAAGATCTTCCTCTCTGTCTCTCCTCCTCTCTGTATATCTGACTTTGTAATAAAAATAAATAAATCTTAAAAAAAAAAACCTTCTCTTAAAAAAAAATAAAATACAAGGTAACAGAAGATTAAAAAACTATTAAAAAACAAAACTAAACTAAACACATACAAAGAAAATAAAGAAAAAAAAAAAGGGAAAATGCTCTTCCGGCTTCAAATGAAATAGTTTAATAGGTACAAAAAATGTGTTAAGACAGTAAAATTGTAAACGATGAAAGCAAACACACTTAGTTGTGTTCTTAAATAGGGCATTTAATCAAGTGATTTGTAAAAAGCTACTCAAACTACAATGGCATATCCTCATTTTTTCAAGATGGTTCATACTAGCGTAATGATCTAGCTATTAAACTGTATAAACTAAAATATATATTTCATATAAGCAAGCCAACCTAAACAACATGAACAGGTAACAGGTATACATGGTAACAATAACGAAAGAAAATAATCCTTTATGTACTCATGTACACACACACACACACACACTTACCGCCTGCATGTCATTCAGTTCCTTCTGATGTTTTACTACCATCTGGTTGAATTTTTCTCTTTCTTGGTTGAGTTCCAATTGCAGCTTTCGATTTTCCTTTTCTTTTTTTCTCAAATCCTGCGCATTAGCTTTTTTTCTATCAATTTTAAAATCTTTGCGATTCATTATTTCTGCCAACTTGTTAACAGCCTATTAAAATATGAAAGAGATTTTATTAGGGACCTACATTACACCATCTCATTTAAATCTCTGCTAAAGAACTTTTTTCCTCCTTCAGAATCAGGATGAAGGACCAGGACAACCTACTGAAGACTGGGATGTTAGTTGGTCGCAGGCTGCACAAGTAAATACTAATGACTTATTTCACCACTCAAATCTAAGAACCAAACAGGCTCACAAAAAAACTACTCAACAACTACTCACCACTCTGACAGATGCTAGACATAAATAAAGAACACGCACACATGCCTCAGAGGCATCCTGGTCTGGTGCAGTGAACAGGAAAGCTTATGATACAGCGAGCCAGTTCAGCTCTAGAAGCCCAAATGGGATCCTGGTGCATTCAAGGTGAGGACTTTAGCCACTAGGCCACTGCACCAGGCCTTACAGTGTTTTCTTTTTCAGTAAGGTTTCCCTCATATAAATAAGAAATTCTCTATTCATTTTATTACATACTTTTTCTGACAGATTATTAAACAAAGCAACTTTCTTAACTGAAAGTATTTTATGTTTTTGAGATAAAATGAAGACATTAAAAAATTATAACCTCAATTTTAACTGAAGGATGAACAACTATCTTTCTAAATATGTTACTCAGATACACACAGCAAAGGCTGACGTCATACATACCTGTGTTTTAAGGGTTCGCTCTGTATTGATATTCTTCTCATAGGCAGCCTTAAGATTACTGATTTCTTCTTCTTTCTGTAGCTTATATTCTGTCAATAAATTACACAGTATTATTATTTGCATTCTGAACCAATAATGTTTTTAATTATTCCAATCAGTATATACTACATAGTAACTTAAAGTGATTAATATAAGCTTTAAGGCTATAGAAGTTACTTCAATATAAAAGCACATATCACAAAAATCTAATGCATAGCATCATCAGCTAAAGATTAATTACTGAACTTAATTTGACAATATGATTTTAAGAAATCTACATACCTTCTTCTGCTTTCCTCATTTTATCACTTAGCTCTTCATTTTCTTTTCTTAATAATTCAATATCTTTGGTTAGCATGCTGTTTGTTTCTTCAAGCTGAACAAAACACAAATATCTATTGCAGTTGCTTTGCTATTAGTCATGTAAAACAATAAAGTTTAATATAATCCTTCACATTTTCTACAGGTCAGATATGTCAGATTTAGCTTAATAACAGACATTGCCTGGTTTCCAGTTTAAAAATATGTGGATGTTCCTTTGGGATTAGGGAGAGGAGCTTTTTCTGGTCCTTACTTAGTTCTAACTTTGGATCCCCACCCTCTCTTGTAATGACCATCAGGGTCGTTCTGAAGCCCCACCCTCCCAAAAAAAATTTAGAATAGACAGAAATACAACGAAAGCTTAGTACCAGACAGGAAACAGTGTGGATCCACATATACCTTACTAGGTAGGACACAAAGATTAGCTACTCCTCACTAGGGTACTGAAGATTTCTCTGCACACCCCTCCTAAAACTGGTCTGCACCTCAACTGTTAACAAATGTCTTGTTAGATTTATAAGCCAGTTTAGACTATCCTAAAATCTGCCAAGTTCAGCAAAATTATGCTTCAACACTATAAACTGCTAAATACTAAAATGAAAATAGACACGAGACAGCTGAATAGTACCCTATAGCCACTTTAAGGTGTATAGAAGCCGGTTCTGTGTATAAACAAAAATTGAAATGTCAATAAAGCAGTCATAGGATGTGGTTAAGAACTTGCACTGTTTTAACACATTGATTACAATACCATGTCAATTATTTCCACAATGTTGTAAACTGTTATTGATGTTGTGCTGGGGCTTTCAATTGATTGGGATGATACTCTGTCAGCTCTGTCTTTAAACCAGAGATGATCTCCGCAAGAAACTGTTGAATTGATCTGGACAATAAGATGCTGAACTCTATGGCTGGTATATGTTTGCAAAGTAAGAATCTTGACTTAATTTGAACTGTAATACCCAAAAAGGTGGAAGAATCCACCATGGGGGAAGGGCACGGGGAGGGGTTGGGGAATCCCAGAGCCTATGAAACTGTCACATAATGCAACGTAATTAGAAAAAAAAAATGTGGATGTAAATCCGAAACACTTCAGAACAATTACTAATGTTCAAAATTACTTTAGTTAAAACACACACACACACACACACACACACACACTCTATATAGCTATAGATATGAACAAAAGGGAGTAAAACATAATGGAAAAAGAACCAGACTAGAAATTAAAAAGTCTGCATTTAGTTCTACCTCTGCCACTCACCCACTATGTGATTCCAGGCAAGTTAAAGCTGGCAGGGAGACAGACCAGTGCTGTGGCATAGCACACAAAATTGCTGCCTACAGTGCTGGTATACCATATGGGCTCCTGTTTTGAGTCCCAGGTGTTCCACTGTTGATCCACCTCCCTGCTAACACACCTAGGAAAGTATTAGAGGACAGCCTAAGTGCTTAGGCCTCTGCAATCACCTGGGAGATCCAAAGGGGGTGCCTAGCTTTTGGCTCTTGTTGCAGCCAATTGGGGAGTGGACCAATGAATGGATGATTTCTCTCTCTGTGTGTCTCTCCCTCTCTGTAACTATGTCTTTCAAAATAAATAAATAAATCTTAAACAAAAATGCATCTCTGAGCCTCATACCCATAGTAATGATGATGTCAATAAAAACACTTGTCCGTTACCTTTAGTGATGTATTTACTGAACATTCTATTTACATGACTTTATTAAATCTTCACAGCACTCATGTGGAATAGGTATTATTATTTCTATTACATATGCAATATGTATATTTATTTATTTGTTTGCAAGGCAAAGCTTCAGAGAAAGGGAAACAGATCTCCTATCTGCAGGTTTATTCCTCAAATAGCTAGAGCTGGGCCAGGATAAAGCCAGACTCTAGAACTCCATTTGGGTCTACTACATAGACAGCAGGCCCCCATGTACGTGGGCCACCTTTGGCTGCCTTGTCAGGTACATTAGCAGGAAGCTGGATCAGAAGCAAAATAGCACTTGACCCAGCATTCTCCATGGCACTCTTCACAACTCTGACCCGTTTCTATTTTATACATGAGCAACCTGAGGCTTAGAGAGGTCAAAGCAACTTGTCAAGATCACATAAGCTGATATTTGAACCCAGTAATTGTATATACATCATAGCATTTGATGACTTAATTCCCTTGATGGTTCTTTGAGTCTACGAAAGTACTTTAAAAAATTTAAGTACGCACAGAATTAAAAGACAGATTCTGCAACAGGGATTTGGTGTGGCAGTTAAGACATTTGGGTGCCCAAGTGTGATTCAATTATTGTTGCAGCTCCAGCTTCCTGCTAATGTGCACCCTGGAAGACCATAGATAATGAAACAAGTAGTGGGATGTCCACCATCCACGTGTGAGGTCTGAATTGAGTTTCCAGCTCCTCGTCTGTGGACTGGTCCAGCCCTAACAGCTACATGCAATTGGGGAGTGAAGTAGCAAGTGGGAAGCTTTCTCTGTCCACCTATCTCTCACTAGGTCTACTTTTCAATTAAGCACAATAAATGAAACACATTTTAAGATGACAAATTTATTTTGATGTAAAAGTTTTGAAATCTATACATTGGTTTTTCATAATGCAGATTTTCCATAAATCTTCTGAAGACCCCTTGTATACATGGATTAAAAAAATATTTTTTGCATTAAAATAAACTTTCCTTTTTGGAGATTTATTTTGTCTGGAAGACTACAGAGATTGGGTAGGGGGACTTCCATCTGATGGTTCATTTCCCAGATGGCTCCTGGGGCTGGGCTAAGACAAAGCAAGGAGCCAGGAACTTCCTCCAGGTTCCCCATGTGGGTAGCAGGGGCCTAAACACGTGGGCCACCTTCCCCCTGTCCCTCCCAATCCAGCAGCAGGGAGCTAGAGTGGAAGTGGAACATCTGGGACACAAACAAGTGCTCTTATTGGATGCTGGCAGTGGAGGCTTCAGTCTTAGAGATTACACTCCAATGCTGGCCCCAATATAAACTTTCATTTCTTTTATACAGCTAAAAATACAAACCTCAAGAGTAAATTATACACAGTATTGGTGTTCTTACAATGGGTTTATAGATCACCCACAAATTTCTCATACAAAAAAAAAAAAAGTAAATTTAGACTAGTATTGCACATAAACTAACCAGGACCCTAGGACCTAGAGCCACAAAGGAAAATAGCTAAAAATTAGGAATTTCAATCATAAACAACTGTTTTAGATTATATAACTTATTTTACATGTAAATATAGAAAGAAAAATGATTACATATATAAAGTATAAATAAATAAATTCACATGCACACATACTCACTCTAATACTTTAAGGTGTGAGCTATACTGACTAAACTCAAGTTTAGTCATATAATTTATCTATCACACTTACCCGATTAACAGCGTGATCTTTATCTGTAATCTCCTGTCTATTTCTTGAAGCAGCTTTCTTACTTTCTTGGGTCAATTCAAAATACTGTTCTTCTAGAAGTCCCCGAGCCAACTGCTCTGACTCAGCTTTTGTTTCTGCTAGATCCAACTGAGTAGCAAGAGTTTCCCTGCAAAAAAAATTTGAAATGAGATGAATATTTAAAGGTTCAGTTTATGGTGCCTGTTTCTCCCTGTGGCACTGGCATCTAATATGGAGTGCCTCTTCAAGTCCCAGGTGCTCCAATTCTAATCCAGCTCCCTGCTTATGGCGTAGGAAGGCAGCGGAGGATCTCCCACGTTCCTGGACCCCAGCATCCACGTGGGAGACCAGAAGAAGCTGCTGTTCCTGGCTTTGAATTTACTCCGTTGTGGCCATTTGGGGTGTGAACCAGCAAATAATAGAACAAACCTTTCAAAAAACAATTCAGTTCATTCTTACAAATTAACCAAACGCTTTAAAACACAATTATCTTTAAATGATTAAAAATAATGAAGGATTTTACTGCTTAAAACAAACTTCGAGTTCACTGCAAATTCTGGAATGCAATGAATTTAATATCTCACATTTCTGGCAGTCTACTTTTAAAAAGGAATTTATTGTAAACTTGGAATGGAAGATAATCAGTAAATTAGGAGGATAAACCTGGGTCCTTATGACATTAATTCTATTACTTTAGGCATTAGGCAATTTTCTATATTTCCTGAGCTCATTTAACCAAATCAGTAAAATTAGATTAAAGTAAATCATTTGTGAAGTGTCTTCATGCTGTGAAATTAAATAAAATTATCAAGTTTTACATGCAGGTATTACAAACACAAGAAATGTTTATACACAAAACACTTCTTAAAAATTTCTAGTGGTTCACTCTTCAGATGGCTGCAAATGGTCAGAATGAAGGGCTGTGACAGAACAAAGCCAGGAGATTCTTTTAAGCGTCCATGTGGGTGAAGGGGCCCAAGCACCTGGGCCATCTTATACTGCTGCCCCAGGTTCAGGAGCAGGGACTAGACTGGAAGTGGAACAGTCTGGACTTAATCACTGCAGGGAGTGGTTTAATCTGAGATGCCACAATGTTATTATTATTTTTAAAAGTTATTTGATTTTTAAGTGAAATGCAGGGAGAAAGATCTTCCTTTCACTGGCTCACGCCCTAAATGGCTACATCCTGGAGTCCCACATGGGTAGCATGGACCCAAGAATTTGGGCCACAATCCGCTGCCTTTCAGATGCATTAGCAGGAAGTAGGATTAGAAGTGGGGTGGCCATAACTTGCTAGCTGATACTTTTTCTTGAAATATTCTAGTTTCCTTATTTTTCTGTTACTGTAGTTTTCTTTTTTATTACTGCTGACTTCTTATTTCTTACTCTGCCCATTCCTTAAAAGCATAGGAGCCAGTAGTCTTTCCTTTGCCTTTTATCTTCTGATCCTACTCTTGGAGTTACAATTTACTGCCCAGGAGAGTGAACTGAATCTCTGAGTGTCCCCTTCCTTATCTCCTACTCCCACTCTCTTACCCAGTAGCTTTAGATTGTTATTGTACAAAAATTCAGAAAGTTTTGAAATGTGAGTACTGGCTCAGTGTTTATCATGTGTGGTAAGTGTATCGAATTGAAGACAGGAAATCTACAGATTGCTAAAATTCCCATAAACTGGGCCTGGTGCAGTGACCTATGAGCTAAAGTCCTTGCCTTGAATATGCCAGGATTCCAAACGGGAGTTGGTTCTAATCCCAATGGCCCCATTTCCCATTCAGCTCCCTGTTTGTGGCTTGGGAAAGCAGTTGAGGACGGCCCAAAGCCCTGGGATCCAGCACCCATGTGAGAGAACTGAAAGAAGCGCTGGGCTCCTGGCTTTGGATTGGCACAGCACCAGCCGTTGCGGCCACCTGGGGAGTGAAATCATCGCAAAGAAGATCTTCCTCTCTGTATATCTGACTTTGCAACAAAAATAAACAAATCTTTTAAAAAAACATTCCCATAAATCACAACCCATTTAAACTTATGGCCTCATAGGGTTATGAATAAGGAACTCTGAGATACAGAAACCTCAACTATCTTGGTGGCTTCAGTGTACAATGATAATCAAAATCAACTTGCAGTCTAAGCCATTTCCCTGAATTTAAATAAGCAGTAAGTATTGGCTTGGTGGGCCCGGCACGATAGCATAATGGTTAAGGTCCTCGCCTTGAATGCGCCAGGATCCCATATGGGTGCTGGTTCTAATTCCAGCAGCTCCACTTCTCATCCAGCTCCCTGCCGTGGAATCCTGTACCCACGGGGGAGACCCGAAAAAAGTTCCTGGCTCCTGATTGGTGCAGCACTGGCCGTTATAGCCACTTGGGGAGTGAATCATCGACAAAAGATCTTCCTATCTGTCTCTCCTCCTCTCTGTATATCTTCCTTTCCAATAAAATAAATAAATCTGTAAGCACTTCAACAGATAGAAGATCATTTCCTTTATGTCTCTCCCCTAATCAGCTTCTAACTTCGCTTCTTTAAACAAATAAATCTTAAAAACAAAAACAAAATAATGCTAGTTTCAGTGTCTGTTCTGACACCTTCTTGCTATAAGGATCCCAGCTGAATGAGTCACCATCTTTTGGGGCATGATAGCTTCATTGTAAAATTAGGTTGTATATCTTTGAGGTTTTCTCATTCTAAGACCCTAATTACACATCTAATGGAAATAAGCCTATCATGCATGACTAAGAGAAAGCTCTTAAATACCTTTGCCTACCTTAGAATGATTTGTGAATACAGAAAGAACAATTTATATATAGATAAACGGTGAAAAATTAAGAGGTCTTTGAAAATAATTTATCATCAAAGAATTTATGACAGTCCAGTGACTTTTTAACTGCTACAATGTTAATGTATTAGAGCTTCTTTACCCCAAAGATGAATTTAAATATGGTCTATTTTGTTCCGAATTCTGCCAACAGACTGCTTCTTGCCCTTTTAAATAAGATCAAGTAAATCAACCAAATAAAATGTGGATAGCGTGGCAGGTATTTGCCTGAAATGCTGGCATTCCACATCCAAACGTCCACTTCTAATTCCATCGCATTGCTATTGTACACCAAAAGGCAGCAGGTCAGGGCTCGAGTAGTTGGGTCCCAATCACCCAACTGGGAGATCTGGACTGAGTTCCTGACTCCTGGCTCCTGCCTGAGTCACCAAATTTGTGGTCATTTGGAAATGGAGAATCAGCTGACAGAAAGCCTGTCCACTTAAATGTTTCTCTGTCTTGGTGCCTTTCAAATACATAAATAAGTGAAAAGTTTTAAAAATGTTCTACTTCCATGAGAATGACACTTTCAACTTAAAAAGAATGGCTTGAATTGATTCCTGTAAAGTTAAATATACATACTTTTCATTTTGTAGTTCTTGTATCTTCTTTAAATTTTCTCTGTTTTTTTCTTCAATCTCTTCCTTAAGTTCCTTTACCTGAGTTTTATAAAGTGTCTGGAAAACAAGTGATAAGAAGATATAAAACAGCCCGGCAGGTTCTTATTAGACAATTAACATGACACAACAATTCCACTGCCAGCTATTTTACCGATGATAAATACAGGTGTGTCCATTCCTGCACACAATATTACAGATGAGGTTTCATTACAATGTTACTTATAGCAGCTTGAAACTGGAAATAGTATGTACATCCATCAGCATGTCTTAAGAAAATTATAGTGGGCCTGGCGCAGTGGCCTAGTGGCAAAAGTCCTCGCCTTGAAAGTGCCGGGATCCCATATGGGCGCCGGTTCTAATCCCGGCAGCTCCACTTCCCATCCGGCTCCCTGTTTGTGGCCCAGGAAAAGCAATCGAGGATGCCCAAAACCTTGGGACCCTGCACCAGTGTGGGAGACCAGGAGGAGGTTCCTGGCTCCTGGTTTCGGATTGGCTCAGCTCCAGCCATTGCAGTCACTTGGGGAGTGAATCATCAGATGAAAGATCTTCCTCTCTGTCTCTCCTCCTCTCTCAATATCTGACTTTCCTATAAAATAAATAAATCTTAAAAAAAAAAAGAAAAGAAAATTGTAGTGTGTCCATACTACTTAGCAACAAAAAGGAATCAATTATTAACTTCTACAACGTAATAAATCAGAAATTTATGCTGCACAGAAGAAAGCAGTGTTGGGACAGGTGTTGAGTGCACAAGTTAAGGTGCCTGTGTTCCACGACACAGTACAAGGATTCCATTCCTGGCTCTAGTCTATGTCCCCCTGACATAGACTCGGAGAGGCCTGAGTGAAGACTCCAAAGAGGCTGGTTTCTTGCCCCTCACATGATTGATCCCTTAGCTCCTCCTGCTGTGGTCTCCATCATCTCTGGCCACTGCAGGCATTAAGGGAATGAACCAATAAAGGAGACCTCTGTTTAAGTATTTGTCTCTTTCATTTCTTAGTGTCAAAGAGAGGGGAGGAGGGAGAAAGAGAGTGAGAGAGGAAGGAAGGAAAGTAGGAAGAAGGCAGGGAAGGAAGGATGGAGGAAAGAAAACCAGGCAGGTACTAAAACTAGTATATGATTACATGTATGTGTAATTCTAGAAAAAGGTAAAAATAATCAATAGTGACAGAAACTGAGTAAATGCTTGCTTGTGGAGGGAGTAAGGAAGAGTACCGCAAAGGTGATCAGGTAATATTCTGTGGAGAAGAAAATGTTTTACATGTCAACTATGGTGATAGTCATGATTATATACATTCGTCAAAACTTACTGATCTAAAACTCTTAAAGAAAACATAATTTATTATATATAAACTACAATAAATTACATAACAGGGGCCAGTGCTATGACTTAGCAAGCTAAGCTTCCCTTGATGAACCAGCATCCCATATGGGTGTTGGTTTGAGTCTTGGCTGTTGTACTTCCAATCCAGCTCCCTGTTCATGTGTCCAGGAAAGCAGAAAAGATGGCTCAAGTCTTTGCGCTCCTGGTTTCGGACTGGCCTAGCTCTGGCCATTGCAGCCATTTGGGCACTAAATCAACGGATGGAAGATCTTTCTTGCTCTTTCTCTCCTTTTCTCTGTGAAAATCTGTATTTCAAATACCCGTTAGATGAATACATAGGAAGAACTCTCCAAGATATAGGGATTGGGAAAGACTTCTTGAAAAGTCACCAAAAGCATAGGCAGTCAAAGCCAAAACAAACAAATGGACCACCTCAAGCTGAGAAACTTGTACAGCAAAGGAGACAACCAACAAAATGAAGGAGTAACCAAGCTTGTGGTCATCAAATACATCAACAAAGAGGAAAGAAAGTGCACCACTTCTCTGTGTGTCAAGACGTCAAACACGGAGTATGGGCTATGCAACCCAATTTCCTGCTCACCATAATCTGGGCTTCACATGACTTTAGGTCCCCCCATGCTGAAAACTCAGGTAATCAGACTCTCATTTTTATCTCTAGCTTCACAGCAATTCAGGAAATATTTGTACAAAAATGGTCATTTCTTTTTAAGTAGGCCATGAACTCAGATTCAAAATTAAAATTTAAAGATAGGGACAAAAAGGGAGAAAAACTTCTTTATGGTAATTTAAAAACTAATAGGTCACATAAAATAAACCAATTTTTATGTCAAATTTCAAGAGTTGGTATTTTAAAAAAAAAAAGATTCTTACCGAAAAGTATTGCTCAGCTTCAAGCTGGTCTTGTAGCTCCCGCATTTGTCCTTCATTTCCTCTGTATTGTCTTTAAATACAAGAAAGAAACAGTAAACAATACTTTTTTACTACTTTTATATTATTCTTAGACTTTTAAAGTGAATATACTTCTTCATATAGTGTTACTTTAATTCCTGATAATGACGCCATGCAAAGTACAGAGAGCATTTAATTGGTAAAGAAGGTCAATTTCAGAATAATTAATCCATATTACAAAATAAAATTGAATTAGTTTTTTTTGTAACTTTTTTATAGAGAAGAGTCATGTTAGGGTTATACAATTAAGTATGCACCAGTTATATAAAATGAAGTATTAATTCATAATTATATATTATGGTAAATTAAGCACAAGAGAGGGATGATGGTAGTAATGAGTAACTACGGAATATGAAAAGGAAAGCAGAAAGAATAAACTGACAAGAAAGGAATGGGGCTCTGGGGGTGGGGGCACTGCTGTAGCACAACAGGTTAAACCACTGCCTGCAAATTTGGCATCCCATTTGGGCATCAGCTTGAGTCCTAGCTACTGTACTACTGATTCAACTCCCTGCTAATGGCCTGGGAAAAGTAGCGGAGGATGGCCCTAGTGTCTGGCTCCTTGTCATCCACATGGGAGATCAGAGCAAAGGTCCTTGTTCTTGGGTTTGGCCTGGCACAGTCCTGACTTTTGCAGCTACTTGGGAAGAGATCAATGGATGGAAGCCCTTTCTCTGCCCACCCACTGCAACTCCAATTTTCAAGTAAATAAATCAATAAAAATTTAAAAAGACAGCTACAACTACATAATATGCACATAAATACAACTCACACAGAAAAGACAGGTAATGCAAATGAAAAGCATGACTTTTTCAAACACTAACAATTTTATCTACAGCTAAGTTTTCATATTGGTGGCAGCATTTTAATTTTCAGTGTATAACAAGGAATTAGTTGATAGGAATCTCTAAAAAACTCTGAACATTCACTATTCAGATACTGTAATTTTAACAGAAAGAAATTTATCTCTGATTCTTATAACTCTTGCCTAAAGAAATGTAAACATAAAAATAATGAGCAAATTGTGATTTGTCCTTCATAGACAAATTGCAAAATGAGCAATCTTGATAATCTCCTTTTCTCTCCCTATAAATAACTGTACTTTAAATTTAGTGACCTGTTCTGACAAAGCCTAAACTTGCGAACCTTCTCTGCAAGAAAAAAGTTATTCCTACAGTCTTTCTGTTTTCCTTTTCTTTTGCTCTGCTGTAGAATCTAAGCAACACACACACACACACACACACACACACACACACACACACACACACACACAGTGGAACACATAAGCGAAATAAATTACAACACAGTATTATCAGGACTTACTTGGTAAGCTGAGCTAACTCAAATTCTAATAATCTCTTCGCTTCCAATAAAGTATTTATTTCCTGTTTCATCTGCTTTTCTAAACCTTTTAAATTATCTGCTTCAAATGCTTGAGACTTCAATTCATTCTGTAACAACAGTCGCTTATTTGATTCCTGCTCTAGCTGTAGAGTCAGATTTTTAACCTATGAGAGAAACATAATTGGTAAGTTAAATCTCTTAAGTAGTTAGACCTTTTCGAAAGAATATAAATAACAAATTAAGTACATTATAACACCTATACTAATAAGGAATATTGGTATTTTACATGTTTATTATTTGCAAATTATTAAATCCGTCCCCAAATTTCAGACATCCAATTCAGTGAAGAGAATCCAGCTGCTTTCTTCTCCAATTATCAAGGAAATTTTCTAATACAAAGTGATCATAAAAGCCATTTTGGGGAGAACCCTTCAAAAGTTATTTAAATTTTGTTCATTCATAAAGTTATTTGTTCAAATCTAAAAATCCCCCAAAACTTACAAAACAAACTAAACATATATTTAATTCAATATCACAAATATTGTCAAAGTACTTACCACCAGATATTGGTTCCAAGAGACTAAAAATTTTTACAATGCTCTTTATGGTCTGCTCTTCCTACTGTCCACTCATCACTCACTCTTCTCTACAATCTGATTATATTCAAATCCTCAAAATACAAAATTCCCTCACTTCATGGTTCTTAGTTTATACACACTGAATTTCTTCTCTCTTTCCTTCTTCATTTTAAAAATTGCTTTCCATAAAGAATTATTGACTTATTTATTTGTTTAATTGAAAAGCAGAGATACAGAGTGGGAGAAAGATCTTGCATCCACTGGTTCTCTACCCAAGTGGCTCCATGAAGTCAGGAGCCGATGCTTCCTCCGGGTCTCCAATGCAGGTGCAGAGACCCAATCAGCTGGGACAACTTGCTCTGTTTTCTTAGATGCATTAGCAGAGAGCTGGATTGGAAACGGAGCAGCTGGAAAGTAAACCAGTACCCATACGGAATGGAATGCCATCCCTGCTACCAGAGGCTTAACCACAATGCCAGACCCTTTATTTTTTCATTTTTTTCTGCTTTCAATATAAATGCCACATCCTTAATGAGCACTTCCTAAACTTCCAAACTGCATTTGTCACAAACTCCTATAACACTGTATATATCTACTTTTTATTTATTTATTTGTTGAGTTTGTAATGTCAATTTTAACATGTCTCTCCCACAGGGCTGTAGGCACCAAAGCAGTCAAGACCATTCCTGCCACATTGGCTTCAGTAATCTTAACCTGTAGCACAGAGCAAGGAAAACTAAAAGGAAGTAAAAAAGTATGTTTTAGAACAGCTATGTATAAATTTTCAAAATTTCAACATATATTCCTCCTTCATGCTGGCTCTAACAGTATCTCTAATCTCTTCTTTCTAATCAGTTCTATATACCTTTACCAGATAATTTTCCTAAAAGGATGCTTTCAGCTAAAGCTTCTGCCAAATTTTAAGACGAATCAAAATTTGGGCACTCAAGTTTCTCCCATGACTATATAATATGCCTGTTAATCTCTGGTTATGTTCCTTTTTTTTGTCCTTACTTATTACCTACTTAGAATTTAACTTAAAAAAAAAAACCATATATTTTTATTAGAAAGTTAGATCTACAGAAAAGAGAAAGATCCTCTACCCACTGGTTTACTCTCCAAATGGCTACAACGGCTGGAGCTGAGCTGATCTGAAACCAAGAGCCAGGTCTCTTCGATGATCATTTTTTGCACCTGAATCAATTTTTCTTTTTAAAGATTTATTTTTATTGGAGAGGCAGATATACAGAGAAGGAGGAGAGACAGAGGAAGATCTTCCGTCTGATGATTCACTCCCCAAGCGGCCGCAACAGCTGGAGCTAAGCCAATTTGAAGCCAGGAGCCCAGAGCTTCTTCCAGGTCTCCCATGTGGGTACAGGGTCCCAATGTTTTGGGCCGTCCTCGACTGCTTTCCCAGGCCACAGGCAGGGAGCTGGATGGGAAATGGGGCTGCCGGGATTAGAACCAGTGCCCATATGGGATTCCGGTGTGTTCAAGACAAGGACTTTAACCATTACGCTATCGCGTGGGCCCATGCCTGAATCAATTTTTAAAATCTAGATAACATTTAATCCCCTTCCTTGTGGAGGGTGTATGACTTTCAGCTTAAAAATAATTTCATATATGTGTGTTTACACACACATACATAATAACCACTGGTGTACAATTTTCCCTTTTGATTAAAAGCTTTGCAAATGTGTACCCTGTGCTTTCTATTAACCTATGCCAAGTAAAGCTGCAGTTTAGCACTTCCCTTTGAAACGTAAGAGTAATGCTCCTCTGTGGGGTTATAGGGTGCCCTATAATGAAGTGGTTTGTTTACCTTTTTCAATAAGGTATAGAACCTACAGAGTGAAGATGAACGTTCTAAGTATTAGGATGACCACACAGCAGTGAACACACATACATGTTGTCTATTTCATTCAAACCTCTTACATGGTATTTAAATGATAGATAATAACGGTGGCCATTCAACCTGAGGGTGAAGATGCCAGTTAAGATGCTATGTCTTACATTGCAAGACCTGGGGTTAATACTCAGCTGCAGCTCCTGTCTCTAGCTTCCTGTCTCTGTACTCTTATGTAGCATTGGCGATGTCTTAAGTAATTATGTTCTTGTAATCCACATGGGAGGCCTAGATTCCATTCTGGTTCCTGGCTTTGGGAATTGTCCCAGTCTTTTGGGCATTTGGAAAGTAAACCAGTAACGAGAATTCTGGTTCTCTGTGTCTAAAATAAAAAAAAATTAAAAAAAAATATATATATATGGACAACTCTCATGATAACTTTTTAGAAGATGACTAAAATCAATAACAGTTTTCTTACTTCATCCTCCATCCTTTCTTTATTTTCAGTCAAATGCTCCAGTTTCTGCTGAGATTGCTTGAGATCCACATCCAGCATGGAACACTGCTTCTCGATCTGAACAACCCTATCTTCAGCCTTCTCCCGAGCTTCTCTCTCTTCTTTCAGCTTTTTTTCCATTTCTGCAAAAGCAAAAAGTTACAAGGACAATATTGAAAGAAAGGCTACCTTAATACTTCTCACTTTACCTGAGCTGCAAATGTGTTTCAAATATTTACTGTTTCTATCCTGTGCTTCTAATGGAACAATTACAGTTCTAATGTCATCTGAATTGTTTTTATCAGGGAATCTTAAAAAAAAAATGGGAGCATAAAAAGTGTTAAAATAAAACTCTTTCAATCCAGCCTCTTCCTAACAGTATGAGATGATTTAGTCCCATTTTCAAGGCAGAACATGATTAGTTGGAAAGAAAGTAATGAAACAGAAAAATGGCTGTAGTTGAAGTAAAAGCAGACAAAATTTATGACTATTAATTTATGCTTTGCGGTGTTCCAAAAACTTTAAGAAGCTTAAGCCTATGACAGGAACTCTAATTTATGCAACAGACAAATGAGATTCTAAGGTAGTACAACTAGCCACTTTAAAGACAATGAATTTACAATTAGGATCTTTATCAGAATATGGTAGCTTAGATTTTGAGAAACAAATTTTTTTCTTATGGTAATCCAGCTAGTAAGTAGTATCATCAGGATTCAAACTTTATAAATCCACTTTCACAGTCACTAAGATTGTCCTTTAGGTAACAAGATAAAACAGTTAGAATCTAAGCTTCTTATCTTTCCCACCACAAAATTTCAAACACAGCTGCACCAATACATTTGTCATTTCTTAATTCTCTTCTTCTTCTTTTTTTAAATAGTGGCTGATATCTGTTATTTATTTATTTATTTTTAATTGGAAAGGCAGATATACAGAGAGGAAACACAGAGAGGAAGATCTTTTGTCTGATGGTTCACTCTCCAAGTGAGCACAACGGCTGGAGCTGAGCCAATCCGATGCTAGGATGCCTGGAGCTTTACCGGGTCTCCCACATGGTTGCAGGGTCCCAAGGCTCTGGGCTGTCCTCTACTACTTTCCCAGGCCACAAGCAGGGAGCTGGATGGGAAGTGGAACTACTGGGATTGGAACCGGCACCTATTTGGATCCCAGCACGTGCAAGGCATGAACTTTAACCACAAACAAAAATCCATCCACTTATGTTCTGATCCTGGATCCCTCTCCTTTGTCTTCCAGGCTTATTACTAACTGACTTCATAGCTCCACATAAATACCTAATAAGCTTGCTAAAGTATACATCTAAGCCTTTATTACTCTCCCATCCCCAAGCCTCTCTTCTCTCCATTACATCTCAATTTCAATATGAGTATTTTAAAAAGTTCATGGAAAAACAAAATTAAAACATGTTTGGGGTTGGAGTCATGTCATAGCTCGTTAAACCACTGTCTACGGCACCAGTGTCCCACATGGGCCCAGTCCCTGCCATTGTGGCCATTTGGGGAATGAACCAGCAGATGAAAGATTTGTCTATTCCCTCTTTTTTCTGTAACTGCTTTACAAAAAAGAAAGAAGAAAGGAAGCAGGGAGAAAGAAAGAGAGGGAGTGAAGCAGGGAGGGAGAGAAATAAGGAAGGAAGGAAAAAAGGAAGGAAGGAAAGGGGAAAAAGGAAGCAAGAAAGAAAAAGAAAAAATTAAAAGACATTTATTTTGACTCAAAAGGCTTTGAAATTCAGGCTTATTATTTTTATAATGTATATTTTCCATGAACTTCCAAACACATTTTATTTATTTACCAAGAGCCCAGCACATCAGGACTGGTGGGAGTCAGGAGCTGGAAGCTCAATTCAGCGTTTCCATTTCGAAGGTATGGGGCCAGCTACTTGAGCCATCATGACTATCTCCTAGGGCTGCAGTTATCAGAAAGCTAGTCAGCAGCTAGAGGAAGGAATCAAATCAAGCCATTCTGATATAATGTGTCTAAGTGGCTGGGCCACGCACTTGCCCTTCTGTGAAATTTTTTTGAAGATTCTGTGGTTCAGCTATCTACAATGAAGGTCTAAGTTTTTCTTGATTCCTTCTTTTGTCCAACCACATCATTACCAACCCTTGTATTTTGTACCCCCATTCTTTTCCTCTCTGCTATCACCAGTGCTCATAGTGTATACTCTCCCAAATGAACTCCACTTGTTCAATTATTTCTCCAAAAACATACTTCTCCCCGCCCCCACAGATTTATTTATTTTTATTTGAAAGGTAGATTTCTAATGAGAAAGAATAAGAGACAAAGCAAGAGGTTCTACATTCACTAGTTCCCCCTCTACCTGGCCACAACAGCTAGAGCTGAGCTGATCTGAAGCTGAGCGCCAAGAGCTTCTTCCTGGCCTCCCACGTGGATATAGGGGCCTAGGAATGTATGTACCCAGGTCATAAGAGGGCCAGATCAGAAGTGGAGCAGCTGAGACACACACCAGCACTCTTATGGAATGCTGCTGCCTACAGGCAGAGGGAGGATTAGGCTATTATATTACCACTTACTATGCCTACATTCCTTTTTTAACAACTAGTGCATTCTGGCTTCCGTCTCTTAATTCAAATATCACTAACTCAAAGAAGCCTTTGTTCAGAACTCGATCTTAGGTACTGCCACACTGAAATAATGGCATTTGTGTATATTTCTATTACATTAATGATTACATGCCTATAAGGGATATATTGTAAAGAAGCTAGGATCTGAAGCTACAGCAGGGCACCAAACACAGATATTCTGATGTATGACATGGGCTATTAGGCCAAATTCTCACCCCAGATATTTGGCTATTATGAAGGGACAGAATGAAACAATGGTAATGAGTAAGGATCATAGGTTGCTGCAAGCACTGCCTGTTTTAAGATGTGAATGGTTTATACATATTTACAAGAACAAAGAAGAAAATGGAGGAAAAACAGAGTACAGAGAAACAATAAGGAGATAAATTAGGATGAGGTAAGCAGAGATGAGCTTTGCATAAGGCCAGAAAAGAAAGAAGTTTCTCCTTCTCTGAGAGGGAAGATAATAAAGATGGATAAAAAAATGAATTGCGCTTGGCACAGCAGCCTACTGGCTAAATCCTCACCTTGCACGCACTGGGATCCCATATGGACACCTGTTCATATCCTGGTTGCTCCACTTCTCACCCACCTCCCTGCTTGTGGCCTGGGCAGGCAGTCAAGGATGGCCCAAAGCCTTGGCACCCTGCACCCATGTAGGAGATCCAGAGGAGGATGCTGGCTCCTGACTTTAGATTGGCTCAGCTCCAGTTACTACGCCACTTGGGGAGTGAATCATCGGACGAAAGATCTTTCTCTCTGTATTTCTGTGTTTCCAATTAAAAAAAAAAACTTAATATATTTATATATAAAAAAGACACTTACCACACATTGCAACAGATTTTGCCTCTTCAATAGATTGATGTTTGTCAGTTAAACGAGCTTTTGTTACTTTGTGTTCATTCATCTCTTGTTCTAGTCGCTGTTGTAATGACTTAAGTTTGTAGTTTAGATCAATCTCCAAATTATTTTTTTCCTGTTAAAAGGGAATGAGATTCGTGGAACAAATTGTTTAAAAAGAATATTAGTAAATCTTAAATTATTTAGAATTCCACAAGTGATAAAAACCCTATTTTCAAAACCACAATAAACACATGGAACCAAAAATAAAATATCACTTCAACTATATTCCCATTTGAAATATTAATCATGGTGACTACAGAACAATGTTGTGTTTGTGGATAAGGATGATTCCTTGCTAAGAACAGAAATGAGTAAACAAATTCTTTGCTTTAAAATATTTTGCTATCACTTTAGAAAGATTAAATTACCTTTTCTACATCTGAATTTATAAACGGCCATTTCTTTGATGAAATTACAAGCATTTCATGGCAAGTCATTGAAATAGGAAAAACGAGTAAAAATCTATCTATCCTAATTCTCTGGATACATGCACTGGTTCTTTTCTTTTATCCTATTTCTTTACTTACATCAGCTTTGCCATCAAATAACTATTCCAGTTCTCACAAAACACATCCAAAGGCAAGTAGCTGCCTTCCTTTTTTAAAAGCTTACTTATTTTACTGATTTGGGAGGGAGGGAGTAGGGGACAGGCGTACACATATGTTCACACATACACACACACACGAGAGAGAGAGACAGACAGACAGAGAAATCTCTTATCCACTTGTTTAGTTTCCAAATGTCTACAATAACCAGGACTAGAACAGATCAGAACCAGAAGTGATTAACTCAACCTCTGTCTCCACTGGCATGACCCGGACCCAATTACCAGCTGCCTCCCAGGGTGCACATTAGCAGGAAGCTTAATTAGAAGTGGAGTCAAGATACAATTTTTCCAATATGAGATGCAGGAGTAGCTTTTCTGGTAATTTACCTGAGGTTCTAATTGATCTCCAACAATTTAGGGGAACAGTGAAAATGTGAGAGCTAGATCTGTTCATTAAATACTTAATTGCTTTCTTAGCAAGGTATGCTAACGAAGGAAATCACTGATATTTCTGATTGTTAAGAAAATTCTAGGAATGGGTGCTTTGTCTGGCATTTAAGATACTGTTTGCGATACCCATATCCCACATAAGAATACCTTGTTCAAATCCTAGTTCTGCTTCTGCAGGCTCTTTGCCAACATATAACCTAGGAAATAGCAGATGATGGCTTCAATAACTGAGTTCCTGCTGCTCACCTGGCACACTGACACTGAGTTCCAGGTTCCTGGCTTTGGCCTTGCCCAGCTCTGGCTCCTCTAGGTAGGCATTTGGAGAGTGAGCCACTGAATAGAAAATCTTTGCCTTTCAAATCAGTAACAAAGCAAATTCTAAATGTAAATGTCAACAACTACATGCTTACTTTTTTTAAAGATATATTTATTTTTAATTTTATATATTTTATTGGAAAGTCAGATTTACAGAGAGGAAAGACAAAGATCTGTCCACTGGTTCACTCCCTAAGTGGCTGCAATGGCCAGAGCTGAGCCCATGGAAGCCAGAAACTATTTCCAGGTATTCCAAGCAGGTGCAGGGTCCCAAGGCTTTGAGCCATCTTCTATTGCTTTCCCAGGCCACAATCAGGGAGCTAAATGGGAACTGGAGCAGCAGGGATATGAACTGGTGTCCATATGGGATCCCAGTGTATGTAAGGCAAGGACTTTAGCCACTAGGCTACTATGCTAGGTCCAACTACGTATTTCCTACCTTGCTAACATATATCAATAAAGTAGAATAAGCAAAGCAAGGTCTTCTAAATATTGATGCTTCATTCCCTTCCTTTTTTGTTTTATTAATTTGTCTTCATTTTAATCTCTGATAGACAGATTTTCCATCACAGGTTCAATCTCTCAGTGCTTAAAACAGCAAGGGCTAGGTTATGTCAAGGTCAGAAGTGTCAGATTCCATCTAGATTCCCCACATGGAGAGATTGGGGGTCAAATACTTGGACCATCACCTAATGCCTCTCAGGACAAGCCTTAGCAGGAAGCTGGATGGGAAGTGTATCCAGGGTCAAAGCAGGCATTCAAATATGGAATGCAGGTATCGCATCTGGCATCTTAACCACCTTGCCAAATACCATCCCTTGTTCCATCCTACAATATCCACAGCACCTTCATCTTACTCATGGACAAAAAAAGAGACGGATATTTAAGAAAAGGTATTTCCAAACCAGAGCAATTATGATCATCTATTAATACCAAATAGCAAACAACTTGAATAGGAAAAGAAAATGGAAATAACACTAAAACCATGTTCATCTTCACACACCAAACAGCCAATAGCCATACAAACATTAGGAATAACTATTATTTTGTAAAACCACCTTATAATCTTTAATAATTTATTTACTATCTTATAATTGGTCATATTAAATTATTTACCTTCTCTGAATGATTAAGCATGTCTTGAGCCTCTTTCCTTTCTACTTCCATTCTTTCAAGATTATGTTTGAGAAGCTTCACCTCCTCTTGTAAAGATGAAATTCGAGCTATCAATTGAGAAAAAAGTTCAAATCTATGGTTATTGATACAAAATATATTGTTCAAAATATATTAAAATGTAAAAATGAATTAAATGTCTTGATCAGATAAAATCTTCAAAACCTGCTGCAATATATGCTGGCCCAGTCAATAAAAATGTTAATGCTAACTGGGTTAATAAAAATGTTGATGCATCTGATGCATACTCCTTATCTTACAAGCATTCAAAGAAATGAAGTGAGCATGGGCTAAAAATCAGACCCAAGTCCTTACTGTATGCTATTTAGTACCCCATCAATGAGGATACCCCCGGATTGGTATTGTGGCACAGGATGTAAAGCCAGTCAGCCAGACATAATGATTGATTCTCCACCTGCTGATTTACTCCCAAAATGCATTCAACACCCAGGACTAGGCCAAGTCAAAACCAGTAGCTAGAAACTTTACCCTTGGAAGGGATATAGGGACCCAATTTCCTAGGTCAACTGATGCTGCCTTCTAAGGTGTGTTACCAGAAGGTTGGATCATAAGTACTAAAATCTCTGAGCCTAAGAAACATATCATAAAAAAAAAAAATGAAAATTTAAAAAGAAAGAAAGAAAAAAGAAGTAAAGAACCCAGGGTCAAACCAACATGCTGATGCAAGATGCCAGCATTGCAAGAGGTACCTTGATCTGCAATGCCACAATGCCAGCCCATATAGTAAGTTTTCAAAACTCTATAGAGACAGTAAATTTAGATTAAACTCTGAGTTTTTAGTGTAGAAGAAGCTTATTTCAAACTCCTAAGAAGCTCATAAACATATGAGTGCAAAAAGACGGATCCAAGCAGTGTTTATTGCATGATTCCATTTATATCAAACTAAAACAACAACAACAACAAAAAACTAATCTATAGTATTAAATGTCAGAACAGGGATTCTCTGAGGGAGGATGCCAGAAGTTAGTGACTGACAGGAATTCCAGGGGACTTTGGAGTTGCTTGATAATATTCAGTTTAATGGTTGGAACTCATGTTATATAGGAATGTTCATGTTGTGAAAATTCTTTATATATTTAGCTTTCATATATTACATTTTAATAAACTAACATAGATTAAGGGTCAGCCAGAAAAAAAAATCCTCTTAAATCTAAGTATATTAAAATTTCCCCCAAAGAAATCCAAAATTCACAAAAAGGCAAAAATCTGAGCCCAACAACAGCATATAAAAATTCAAGGTAAATGAATGGGCAAGACAAAATTAGAAAATGAATATTAAAAAAATCACTCACAAAAATTCTAATCTACCAAGAATATCTAAGTCATACAATCTAGCACATCAAAAAACACTGCATTAAAAAAGGCAAAATATTTATACAATACACACAGCTAATATACTCAATAAAGACTCTGAAAAGAAAATGAAGAAACATTTATTTTTATGTGCAACTGTAAGAAAAGAAAGGAAATACAAGTTACAATCTACAGGGCACATGACAGGGAGCTAAATCAGGGAACAGCATGAAATAAACCAGTGCCAAAAGGCTGCACCACAACACTGGCTCTGATCACTGGCTTTTCAAAGGAATGCCAAAAACATTTAAAGAGAAAATAATAATCTCTTCAACAAATGGTGCAGGCTAATAAGAATAAAGTGGCCAGCAAGAACAAGTGAACCACTCCCATTTTTATAATAAACTCTTCAAGTCCTTTGCTGAAAAGAACAACAAGATTGTTGTCCTTATGTAGTACAACTTAACGTACATATAATATAAAAATTACAATTTTTTTAAAGCCATGATACATTTTTAAAGAAATTTATTTGAATGGAAGAGTGACAGAGCTCTGCCATGTGCTGAGTCGTTCCCTTCAGGACCACAAAAGCTGGGCTGGTCCAGGAGCCAGAAACTCCTCCCTGGTTTCCCATGCAAGTGGGAGGGGCTCAAGCATTTAAGCCATCATCCCTGGCTTGCCAGGCACATCAGCAAAGATTTGAATTGGAAGCAAACCATCCAGAACACCAATCAACACTCTAATATGTGATGCAGGCAGTGGTGGTTTAACTCATTTGCCATCAAATCTGTTCCCACAACACACTTTATCAGTAAGCTGAAGCTCACATAGGTCCAACATGTTGTTTAGTGAGCTTTCATTCACATTTGATTCCAAACTATAAAAAAATAAGCACTGAAAAATGATAAACTGAGTAATAATAAGCAATGCTCTGAAATATTCCTTAAATTTCATCAATATCTAAAAAAAGAATTGTTAAATGTCACTGATGACGAACACATAGATAACAGCCTCTGTCTTGGAAGCAAACAAGCCAAAGCACATTCAGACACAGAAGATTCTGAAGGAATTTTAAATTAGAAGGACTTATAGAACCTCTCCTAATCTTCCTGCTTTACAAACAAAAAGAACGATAAAGAGACTTTCAAACAGCTAAAAGGCTGAATAAAAGGACCTAGAAAACAACGTGGTTAAGTATGAGGCTTTCTTACTACATATAAGGAGGGTCTTTTCTTGGTTATAGTCGGATCTATTTTAAGCCAGGTCCCTGAGAAATATGATTACACAACACTCTTCAGCTGAAAACCAATCAGAGCTTCAAATTCCTGTTTCCATAGCCACAAAAACTGACCCTGACCTCGCTCCACAGAATTGTAGCTAATCATCAAGCCCCAAGAGACTCAAACTATGTTCCCATCTGCGATTAAGGTTAAAATGGACTCCTCAGCTCCCCAATATTTTCCTGGGAGACATAGCAACTTCTTTGCTTGATTTGATTAGACAGTATAGATGTTGCCAAAAGGAATGAAAAATAGAAAAATAAATGAGAATCAGGTAAAGACACTCATCATTTTGAAAGCAAATGAACATTATTGCTATTTTTAGATGGTTGAGATTTACAAAGATTGCCAATAACTTCAGCACCAATCTTCCCAAGTAACTATTTGTATTAGAATTCCATTTCTGCAAGTGAGTTTCATTTTCTATCAATAACGCACAAAGAATTCTCAAGTTTCCAGTTATAATCCTCCTTATCTGGATTAGCTGCACTTTAACTAAGCCTTTTAAAAAAAGCCTAAGTTTTTAAATGAACTTCAGTTAATCAGACTGGTAAGTTGGAAAACACTTGCTTTATCTACTTCATAGAAGTGCCTACGGGAAGAAAGCAATTACAATGGGAAACAAATGCATGCTTTGGTCTGAAAGAAAAAGAATGTGAACTATTTATGGTTCCAGCAAAGTTATTTTCTTTATGAAGGCAATATAATTTTAAAAATTTTCCTATATTTAAAAATAGATCGGCATTGCAGCATAACAAGTTAAGCTACTGCCATATGAGCACTGGTTCAAGTCCCAACTCCTCCAGTCGAGCTCCCTACTAACACAGCCAAGAAAGCAGGAGCAGAAGCCTCAAGTGCTTGAGTCTCTACCTTTTGCCTGGTCCAGACTTGGCTGCTGTAGCCACTGGGGAGCAAAACAGGGGATGGAAGAGCATGCACCTGCTTTCATTTGCTGTCTGCATCTCCCTCTCTCAGTAATGTCATTTTTCAAATAAGTAAATCTTCAAGAAATAATTAAAAAAACAAAAATGATTAAGATGGTAGATTTTATGTCATTTTAATTATCAAAATTTATAAGTAAAATATATTACTTTTTTATTGACAGATGGATGCATAAACAAAATGTGGTACATATAAACAATTGAATATTATTTGGCCTTAAAGTAATTCTTACACATGCTATAACACAAATGAACCTTGAATACATTAAGCCAGAAACAAATGTGCACAACCCTTATATGAGGAACCTAGACTAGTTGAATTCATACAAAAAGAATGATGGCAACCTGGGAGGAGAATGAAAACTTAGTATTAAGTACAGAAAATCTAGATGATATACAGTGGTGATGATTGCACAACACAATGAATATATTAAAACACCAATGAACTATTAATGTAAAAATGGCTAAAATCAGGGTAGTGTAAGACACCTCTTGGGACATCTGCATTCCACACTGGAATGTCAGCCCAAATCCTACCTCGACTCCAAATTCCAGCTTCACATTAATGTGCACCCTGAGAGGCAGCAGGTAAAGGTTCTACCACCTACGACCCTGCCACCCACCCGAGACCTGGAAACAGCTCCAGCTCCCTAGTTTCTGCCTGGTCCAGTTCTGGCTGTGTCGTGGGTGGGCATTAAGGCAGTGAACCAGCAGATCAAAGAACTGTGTGTGTATGTATGCCTTTCAAATAAATAAATATAAAATTAAAAAAAAATTAATGCTTAAAACAATACATTTTACACATATTTTACCCCAGTAAGAAAAACATTACCTTGAAGGTCTCCAATCATTTCAGAATCATGACCTCTGTCTCTTCGTTCAGCTTCTAACACAGCTTGCAGCTGGTAATAATCCTTATCTGTTTGCGACTTTGAATTCTCTAAAATTCTATTTCTCTCTTGCAATTCTCTGTTCAGGGACTCCAGTTGACTGATGGATTTGCTCATTTCTGTATGACTCTTCCTTAATCTTACAGCAGTGTCTGACTCTGTCCTAAGTAAGTCATTGGCTTCTTCTAGCTATTTTTAAAAAAGTGCAAACAGAAGATTTTAACCAAGTATAATCAAATTTACTTTAATAAACTGTATATTTTTAAAAAAGAACCTTCTTTGAAAAACTCACCTGCTTTTGTAATTGTGCCAGCTTTTCATTAGCGAGCTGTGAATTTTGGCTGACTTTTTTTAAGTCTTCCAACTGGTCCTTTAAAGTAGAAACTGAAAAGAAAAAAAAAAAAAACACACACAAAAAGAACACAAAAAAAACAAGTGGGAATTGTGAAGTTTTATTAAAGGAAACATACAAATCCCATTAAGGAATGACATGTGGTCTCCAGTCATAGCTGTGAGTGACACTATGTTCATTTCATGCCCCTGTCCAAGGCCTTTCATCTTGGAACTGCTTACCACATTTTAAATTCTTCAAAAAGCAACATGAAATAATATGAAACACAAAGATCTGTTTCACTGCTATAATATCTTAAATCCTACTATTGTTCTAATAAGATCAATTCATTAGTTCAATGCTATAAAGCTAGTAAAATATAGTACAATTATCAATTATAAAATTGCATGAAAGTTGAAAGGTGCCAAACGGTAGTGCAAAATGATTTTTTCCACATGCCCATCTACGCACCTGTAACTTAAGCAAATAAAAGCACTTTCAAACACAATTTATATTTTGCTTTTTCAAACACACAACTTAAATTCTCTTCTGTAATAATACATAAGAAAATCCTTTATTCTTTAAAGCCTATAGAGTACCCAAACACAGAAATAGACAAAACTTATTAAATCATTTTTACATCTGCATTGCTTATATGGGTCCCCTATAAAGCAATGCTATAATTAACAGCCTTCTGTATATAACAATTTACATATACACTCATATACATAGGGAATCTGCAAAAAGTTTGTGGAAAATAGAAGATTAGTTTGCTTTGGCTTCAAATACTCTGAAATATGCATTTTTAAAATTATATCTACTTTACATGCACTTGTTAAGGTGCCCTCACATGTTAAACAAAAACAAATCAAAGAACACAGAAAGCTATTTCAAATGCATTTCTAGAACAGCAATTAAATACATGAAATTGCAGCTTACTAATTCTCAAATGGGGCCACCTGTTGGAGTCTGTTATTTAGATAAACTAAAACTGCATCTCTAGGATTTTGGCTTCAGTGGTTCTAAAACTTCCCAGTAGGTTCCTGCACATACTTACAAGGGTTAAAATCACTACTCTGCATAAATCCAACCCACTGCTGACATCAACAGACTATCAACTTAACTAAGCATCTGGGCTACTAGTTTATCAAGTTTCTTAGAATGTGATTTCATAAATATATCATGAGCACTAAATGTAAGACAAACATCTCAAGGATAGTATTTAAATTTCAGCATTTTCCAAAAGAGTAACCAATTTACCTTCATTTTCCACATTTCTCCTTTTCTCATTTTCCTGTTCGGCTTTTCTTTGGTACTCATTAATCCTGTGCTGTAGTAACATTTTCTCCTTCTCAATTTGAGACACTGTAGATTCCAGATTTCTTCTCTGATTTCCCTGGAATTATTAACAAAAAAGTAAACAACAGCAATTATGCCTTGTCATTTGAGAACATACTTTTTTCTTAGGAAAAAAAAGTCAGATAGTAATTCCTAACAATGAGAAATTTTTAATAGCGGTCCCCTGTTTAAAAAGGCAATAATTTTTTTTGTTTGAATTATATTTACAAATTTTCAGTTTTATAATTTTTGATTTTGAAATCTAGTCTGATGAATATGATCTTTTTAGATCATAAGCCACCACATCAGTTTAGGGCAATGACAATGTATTCCAAATGATTTTTGATTTGCAGTTCTTTTAAGACAGGAAATACGAAAGAACAGAGCAATAACTGCATATTTGGGAATTACAAATGTTTAGTTTAAAAGCATACCAAAAGCAGCAATTATTTCACTAATCTCTCTAGATCTCTCTTAATCCTCTATATCAACAACCTTATATCTTTTTTGAGATGTTGTATGTTTTTATTTATTTAAAAATTTTTTTTTTAATTGGAAAGGCAAATATACAGAGAGAAGAAGATACAGAGAGGAAGATATTCCATCCATTGATTCACCCTTCAAGCGGCTGCAATGGCCAGAGCTAAGCTGATTCAAAGCCAGGAGTCAGGAGTCTCTTCCGGATCTGCCACGTAGGTGCAGGGTCCCAAGGCTTTGGGCTGTCCTCCACTGCTTTCCCAGGCCACAAGCTGGGAGCTGGAAGGAAAATGGCGCTGCCGGGATACAAACTGGGGCCCACATGGGATCCTGGCATGTGCAAGGTGTGGACTTTAGCCGCTAGGCTACCACGCCTGGCCCAATTTTTCTTTTTCTCATCTTCTTCTTCTTTTTTTTTTTTTTTTTTAAGATTTGTTTTTCTTGGAAAGGCAGCTCTACAAAGAAGTGATAGAAAGATCTTCCATCCACTGGTTCAGTCCCCAGGTGGCTACTATGGTCTGAGCAGAGGTGATTCAAAGCCAAGAGCCAGCAGCCAGGAGCTTCTTTAGCGTTTCCCATGTGGGTGCAGTGTCCCAAGGCTTTTGGCCATCCTCCACCGCTCTCCTAGCCCTCAAGTGAGGGAATGGATGGGAAGTGAAGTAGTCAATACATGAACTGGCGCCTATATGGGATGCTGGTACTTGCAGATGGAAGATTAACCAGTGGAGCCAAAGCGACAACCCTGATAGCCTATGGTTCTACCCACTAACATGTATTTATCAGCTCTATGTTGCCACTCATTGATCAATACTGGGTTAAGTATTTGGCCAACAGATTAAGATACCTTTGGGTTGTATCCACTGTTTGAGTTCTGTTTCTGTTCCCTCTTCCAGTTTCCTTTTGATGTACATTCTGGGAGGCATTAGGTAATTGACTCAAATGGTGGGACCTACATCACTCACATGAGATATCTAGATTGAGTTCCCACTTCTGGACTCATTCTAGTACTGGCATTTGGGAGGTGAATCAGCAGACATGCTGATTCCTCTTTGTCTCTCCGCTTCTCAATCTATCCATCCATCCACCCATTCATCTCTCTATCCATCAGTAAGTTGGATGGAATAGCATGAAAACTATGTTTTTTATTCTGTTCCATATGATTCTGAAATATCTGAATATAGAGAATACACATTTTTCAGCTTTAAAATCATAGTCCACTTTAGCAGTTACATAGGAGTAGTGAAATAATCACCTCATTATAGTATGACTTGTGGTAGCCTGGTTTTCAAGCAGTAAGCCCATTTCAGATAAATTTCACACTTGTGTCTACAATTGTTTGTAGTATTTTCCCAAGTTTTTTTTTTTTAAGATTTATTTATTTTTATTACAAAGTCAGATATACAGAGAGGAGGAGAAAAAAAGAGGAAGATCTTCCATTCAATGATTCACTCTCCAAGTGACTGCCACAGCAGGTGCTGTTCCGATTCGAAGCCGGGAACCAGGAACTTCTTCCAGGTCTCCCACAAGGGTGCAGGATCCCAAAGCATTGTTTCGTCCTCAACTGCTTTCCTGGGCCACAAGCAGGGAGCTGGATGGGAAGAGGAGCTGCCGGGTTAGAACCGGCACCCATATGGGATCCTGGTGCATTCAAGGTGAGGACTTTAGCCGCTAGGCCACGCCACCAGGCTCTATTTTCCCAAGTTTTAAAAATATTTTTACACCAAACATGGATGAAGATCCTGGCTCTTGGCCCAACCTCATTAAAGGGGGGATGAATAAGCAGATGGAAGAATTCTCTCAAATTCTTGAAATAAATAATTTAAAAAAGAGACAAAATTTTGAGATGTCCACATCCTCAGCTGGAGTTCTAGATTAAGTTCTTGGCTCCAGTTATGATTCCAACTTCCTGTTCATACAAACCATGAGAGGGAGCAGGTGATGGCTCAACTACCCGAGTCCCTGCACCCACATGGGAGATCTGGATTGAGTTTCTGGCTCTGCCTCAGCTGTTGAAGGGAATGTAAAGAGCAAGCAGGTGGGCACAACCTCTCTAGCTCCTTGTTTGTCTTATTTCCCTCTTGTCTTTCAAATAAAACTGGAAAAACAAAAATACACACGTATCACTGAGTTCAAATGTATGAGCTAAGTTCTCAAAATGGCTGTAGAATAAAATTGCACAAAGGCAAAAAGAAAGTATAATACACTCTGTACCAAACACAGATAAAGCCATCAAGTGAGGCTTTCACATTTTGGTTCTATTTTAAGTTTTAACTTATAGAGTTCAAAAACACTTTTCTCGGGAAATAAAACAATCTGAAAGGGGGAATATTTTAAAACAAAAGTACCTCTTCATCCAATTCTTTCATTATCTTGTCTAGTTTTATGTTTGAAGTTCTGTAATAACAAAAGCAACATAGATTAGAAATACATTTTTTTCACTGCCTAGGGTTAAATATTTACAATCTTAACTTTACCATTTTATTTGGATTTTTAAAAAAATCTCTTTTTCTTCCACATCTCATACTCTTTGACATTAACATACAAAATCTTTGATTTCTATGTAAGAGAAATTTATGGCTACTGCTAAGAATTGTAGATTGTTGCCTATGTTCAGAATTGAAACAAATGCTAAACAAGTTAGAGAAAGTATTCACTTTTTCTCATCCACGTTTAAGGACCCTGAATTCTACCTCCGGATTCTTTTAGGGAGATGTCCAATGACATCAAGTTAACGATTTCTAAAATTCCTCTATCCAAAACATAGTACACAAAAATTAGCCATTTAACCTTCAATATAAGATAAGGTAAATGAAGGCAAAAGTGGCATACACTAAGTTAATGCCCAATTTGGCAACTTGGATAAAAATTTGAGATAAAATAAAAGCATACTATCTCAATCACCATTTGTTTTGTTTTCTTTGGCTTAATACATAAGTAAATACCACTGTTTTAGATTTCATGTGGATGTTCCATCAAGTATCTCATTCAGCATGCCTAAAACTAAATTATTACCTTGGTTCCACATTCCTACCCCAACAACAAACTATTCCTCTTCTAAATCCTTGAATAAATGACTCTACATAGGAAACATTCTTGATTTGTCTTCTTCCTTCACTGACATTTAGTTGAATAATGTAATTGTTGCCAAATAACCAGAGAAATCTTTTTTTAAAAAAGTAAATTGCACTTGCACATGTATTCATTTTTCCATCACATTTAGGATAAATTACAAATTCTTAGCTTGTAAAAATAAATTCTCCAAGATCTAGATGCTACTGATGGCCTTAACAGCCTCTTTCCTCTTATCTCACTTGCCAGTTTAGTTCTCTTATCTCAAAAGCCTTCCAGACACCTAATCCGTGGGTTCTAACATTCTAACTCTTTCCTTGTTAATTTTACCTTTTTCAGCTACCTGGCAAAAGAGTACAGGCATCTCCTGAGGTATTCATCATACACACACACATCAATCCCAGCATCATGTTATTCTGTCTACCTTAAAACATTACCACTTACTTACTTACCATCCTTGCTAAATTACAAGCTCCAAATGAACAGAGGCTGTATCTGTTTTGTTCAGTACTATATTACTGAGACATATTTTCTGACACATCAGCTGACAATACTAGATTACAATCAGTCCTGACTTAATATATCTATGGTGAAGAATTCTGACTAAAATCCATTTCTAGTCTGCCCACATTTCCTAATCTCCCAGTTTCTATATTAGGAAGAGGCCAGAAGCAGGACAGGGAAAGAAAATCTTAAAAAACAAAAACACAATCAAACCAAACAACAACAAAAAAATAACAAAATGCTAAACTTTTTGTATAATCAATGATCCAAATAAAACTCTAGTGAATACATGAGATATGAGTTTACTTCAAAGGAGTTCCTGGAAAATGGAATTAAAAGATGTTTATTTTGGAGCAAAATATGCAGTTTTTACATGATGCAAATTCTCACTAACTTTTTGAAGACCCTTCATACTTCTCAGTGAAGGTCAAACATTTGATCTCTCATAAAAAAATAAATGAAAGTAATTAGCAGTTTGATCTTTAAAGTATTTATTTAGAAAATTATTCATCAAAATTTTAATTAAATTTCCTTGAAGTTATACATTTTCATATGACTATGGGACATTTTCGACCATTCTTAGTTCTTCCTCAAACTGATCCCTATCACCAAAACTACAACCAATATGTCATTAGCCTTTTAACTTTATTTAAAATACTGAGTTTTTTGGATACAGAAATATCTCAACATTCATGTAACAGAACTAATCAATTTCCTAGATTTATTTTCATATTTTATAGTTCTTTAAAATCCTGAGATCAGTGAATTACTTGCTTATAGTCAAATGCTTTATTGTGTTATATATTTAACTTGTTAATCTACCAGGAATGAGTTATGAAATGAGATTTTTTTCCTACTGGTTTCCTTGCCTACTGTGTCACAAAATTACCATTTTCCTAATTCCATTTACTGACAATCTCTGTTACCTCTCTATTTCATTTATTCAAAGCTATTATTCTCTATATATAACTCAGCATTATTAGGTTACCTAAAATGCTAAGTATTATTACGTTTCTTAAAAAAATCTTGATTATCTTACATGCTGTAGTTAGAATTTGACCCAAAGGAAAAAAAAATTTTGAGTTACTAGAGAATCACAATAGAAAACAGAATGGCAAGAAAATCTGTGAATCTTAACAAGATTTTGTAGTTCAGAGAGCACCTTATTTAATGTACACTAGTTAGTATTTTAGTTATCAAACTAAAAATGAAAATGAGAGCAGTGGGTTGGGCAAGTTCAGTGAATGAGCAATGTAGACAAACTTACAAGAATGAAGAATGCCAAGAGCAAATGTACTTGAAATTGTGGAAAACACATGTGTACCTAATTATAACACAATTACAGTTCATGTCTAATGAAGATGTTCTTCATGAATGTTTATCAGCTGTAACTTTTATTTCCCCACCTTAATTCCATCTACTTTCAAGTGTTTACAGAATACAAGTTTTAAACTATTGTGATATAAAACTTTAAGTAACGAATATGATGAAAGAATATTCTCACCTGCACTTCTGCTCCATTTCATCTTTTAACTGCATTTCATTATGCAGCTGTTCTTCCAGCTTGTAGATAGTTTTCTGCAAATTTTCTTGCTTAAATTTAAAAAACAAAAATTCATTTTACTAAGAATATTTATAGAAAAGCCAACAATAGTAAGTATAAATTATTAATTTATATTTATTTGGAAGGCAAGTAAAGGCAGAGACAGAGAGAGCTTTCCCATCCTCTGAGTTACTACCTGAATGTAAGAGCTGGGGCTGAGCCAGGACAAAGCCAGGAGACAGGTCTCCCACAAACATTTTAGCCACTAACTCCACATCCCAGCACATGCATTGTGGATTAGCAAAAAGCTGGAAGTTCAAGACTCCATGATTCAAATCCAAGCACTTTCATATGGGAGGAGGGAATTCCAAAGTGCAATTTATACACTCTGCCAAATGCCTGACATCAAAATACTAAGTTCACATGATCTCTTAAATCAATTTAGAAAATCACTATTAAATTTTACTTCTCTCCTATCTAAAAATTTTTGTTAACAAGCACTCTCTCATCATTGATTCATAAGTCAGTCATTTTGCTATGCAACAGTAATATAAAGTGGCAAAAACAATCCACAATGATAACCAATGGCATAAATATGTAATTTAACACACATAATAAATTTACATAATGGTATTTTGAAGGCATGTAGTCACTGTAGTTCTTTAAGGATTATGTAATATTCGAGAGAAGATTTAAAATATGAGAAAAATTCATCTAGAGGAGAAAGCGGTAGAAGGTATCATTTATTTAGCCATAATCAACAACTGCATCCAAAAGTCCACAGGAGGGAGGCAGGAGGCCAGTACTGGGATTGATTTAAGTCTTTGCTTCTACCATTTCTAACCTAGTTTCTTGTTAAAACTTTCAGAAGACAGCAAATAATGATCCAAATAAACAGATTACATAGTAATGCAATTCTAGGAAGAGTAACAGACTTTTGAATCAGTTCATGCAAAAAAATATGACCTTGGGCCTGGTACGATGGCTTAGTGGCTAAATTCTTGTCTTGATGTGGCAGGAGGCAATATGGGCGCCGGTTTGGGTCCTGGCTGCTCCACTTTCCATCCAGTTCCCTGTTTGTGGCGTGGGAGAACAGTGGAGGACAGCCCAACGTTTTCGGACTCTATACTCATGTGGAAGTACCAGAAAAAGCTCCTGGCTCCTGTCTTTGAATTGGCTCAATTCTGGCCGATGTGGCTACTTGGGGAGTGAACCAGCAGATGGAAGATCTTTCTGTCTCTCCTTCTCTGTAAATCTGACTTTCCAATAAAATAAATAAATCTTGAAAATAAAAGAATGTGAGGTAGAAGCTGTAGGAACTATATCTAATAAAGTACATAGTATTGTTGTGAAAGACAAACAACACAAAAAAGAATAAGTAGAAAGCCTACGGAGGTGAGACTTTGTGCTTGGCATTGCACAGAGTAGATTAAGCCCTTACCTGCAATGCCAGCATCACATCTGAGTGCTGGTTCAAGTTCTGGCTGCTTCATTTCTGATCTATCTCTCTGAGAATGCACCTGAGAGAAGCAGAGGAGGATGGCCCAAGTATTGGGGCTCTGGCCACCCAAATGGAGGCTGTAGGCTTTAGCTTGGCTTTCCCCTAATCACTGTGGCTATTTGGGGAGCAAACACGGTTCTCTCTCTCTCTGACTACCCTTAAAACAAATAAGTAAATAAATTTTAAAAAAAAGAGTAAATAGCTTTGGCTATGTTTAAGACTTATCCAGGAAGAGTGGCAGCAGAGGGAGGGGGAAGAATTCAGGGTACAGTTAAGAGGCGAAGCTGGATGTCGATGAGATTCTCTACAGAAAATAATTAGAGCAAAGATCAAAACATGAGGAAACACAATTTGGTGAAATAAGAAAGAAAATCCAAAAGAGGACAAAAACATAAAATTCAAAGACGCAGTAAGAAAAAAACAATAAGGAAATAATTGCACACAAAAATGTTATAAAAGTGTCAAGGAATAGCAAATATTCTGTCAAGTGCAGCACAGTAGAAATATAGGATGAGGATAGAAAATTATGTACTGTATGTGGTACTTGAAAAGCTGTTCATGATTTTTGCTAGATTTTCAAGGAACAGTTGAAAACTAAGCTAGCTGACTTTTGCGCTTAGTTCTAAGCTAATATAAATAATACTCTTCCCCTTAGCAAAATGTAAAAGATAGCAGCCACTAACAAAAACTAAGGGCAATCACCACTGGATAAGAACAACCCAAAGAAAAAACGAGTATCTTCGAAGTCCTAACACGTGTTTACGATCTTGAGATGGTAACATAGTGACAGCAGGGACAAGCCAACTCCAGGGACAAGGCAACTCCCTACTGTTACCACGCCTGGATCAAAAGTGTTTTCATCTTAAAGATCTCCAAGTTCTTGTGGCTGGCACAGTGGCTTAGAAGGCTATTTCTTTGCCAGCAGTGCCAGCATCACATATGGGTGCCAATTCAAGTTCTGGCTGCTCCACTTCTGATTCAATTCCCTACCAATGCCCTGGCTCAGATCCAAGGGCCCTTGCATCCACATGGGAGCTCTGGAGGAAGCCTCTGGCTGTTGGTTTTGGCTTAGCTCTGTGCTATGGCCTATTGGGGAATGAGCCAGCAGATGGAAGAGCTGTCTCTTCCTTCTTTGTAAATTTGCCTCTCAGATAAAAATAAATGAATCTTTCAAATGAAAAGCAAAGCACTTCCTGAATTACATTAGAAAATTTTTAAGTTCATGGGCCCGGTGGAGTAGCCTAGTGGCTAATGTCCTCGCCTTGAACGCCCCAGGATCCCATATGGGTGCTGGTTCTGATCCCAGCAGCTCCACTTCCGTACAGCTCCCTGCTTGAGGCCTGGGAAAGCAGTCAGGGACTGCCCAAGGCATTGGGATCCTGCACCTGTGTGGGAGACCTGGAAGAAGTTCCTGGTTCCTGCTTCAGATTGGCACAGCACTGGCCGTTGCAGTCATTTGGGGAGTGAATCATCGGACAGAAGATCTTCCTCTCTGTCTCTCCTCCTCTCTGTATATCTGACTTTGTAATAAAAAGAAATAAATCTTTAAAAAAATTTTTAAGTTCTGGTTAGCTATATAATACAGCAAGTAGCTCTCTTGGGATGAATATTTGAAGGAGAAAAACTAACAGCTAACAGGTACAGATAGTTCTTTTTTCCTTACGTTCCCATTTTATCATGTTCCCTTATATTTAACAGTAAAAATAATGAGAGAAAAATTATAAGGGATTTTAAAAAATGGTTGTCTTCTTTCCTGCTCTATCAAAATTATGTATGCTATAACACAAAAAAGTAAAAGAATGCTCCTAAGGATAGCCAGCTAGTAAGGATTACTGATAATTCCCAGAAAAGTCCTTGTTAAATCAAAGATTTTTTCAAATGTAAGGAAGTAATTGTTTGTTTGTTTCTCAGGGAAAACACTCTATCTCATAAATATGAACCACCTGAACAATACAAGTGATAACTAGAAGTTTATTTCCTACTTACTTCTCAGTGAACAAATGGGATGCTGGTGACTACACCGACTACTCTTCATTCCCCATGTCCTTCATGCCTTAAAATCTACAGACAGCATGGGATGGGCCACACTCTATGACTTTGCAGTTAATATACTTAACAAAAATGAGGAAGCAAAGAAATGAAGCATTCATACAGCCCAAGAATGCCAGACTTCCTCTGAGTTACAGGAACAAGAATACTTCTCCTTGCCCCTTTGGCATCAGGGCAATAGCCTTCAATTACTACAATATATACATACACACATACATACACAAACTATCTTTATTGAAATCACTTAAATGTATCATCTATTTCCTTGTCAAGACTCTTAATGACATACTGATTACTATGTATTTGTAATTCTAATTTATCTAAGCGGTAATTCAGAGCTTACTGACTCCACTTATATTATCCCATTTGATAATGCAGGCAAGAAATCAGACTAGAGAGGAGAGGAGACAACACGTTAAAAACTGCAATACATACACAAAAAAATACATTATCCACAAAATGCTTTATAAAAAACTGATAAGAAAATACCTACCAAACTTTTATCCACACTGGAGCTAGTTCTGTTATCATTAGGATTTGCTGAAGATAAATACCTGGGGCAGCAGGTTTCAAAAAGAAAACAGGATGAAAACTCTTTATTTCCAATCATAAGCAATACTACATGCCTATTTTATGTCCAATATTTGTTGTGGTTTTTTTTTTAAAAATAACAAGACTTATAATAATTTTTTTTATTTTAGAAACTTCATAGATACATTAAATTACATCCCCAGTTAAGACTAAAGCACTACTTTTTAATCATATGATTTAATATTTCTCCAGCAAAACATATGAATATCATGCATAGTAGTACACAAATGATAAATAACCTCAAATTAACTCAGACAAGATATTTCAGCCAGGAGAACAGATTACATATAATTTTTACCACCAAACAAGTGAAAATCACTTAATTTTTCAGAGCTTTTTGGATCTTAAGAATGAGGATGAAGCTTTTACAGGTATTTTCTATCCTTCAGCAAAGCATGACATCACCTTTCTGGGTTTAAAAAGAAACTAAAGAGTTTTCTTTGCCGAAAAGGCTGACAACAGAATCAAAGTTTGAGTATATATCTTTAAAATACCTGTAAATCTTACATGCAATATAACTGCTGTAATGTTTACACTTCCACCAAATTAGTTCACTTAAGGTTCTCTGAGTGTTTACAAAAAGGACTTAGTATATTAGCAAGTAGTTTAACCTAAGGCTATTTTAAAGACAATGTTTAACTCAGTTACACCTGCACAATGAGGAACACTTGCTCGGGTAAAGGGAAGTATATTTTTTTGAGGAATAACAATGTCATATTTTGCCAGTATAGCCAAAATTGCATGTTATTTTGCCAACACTTTATTAATAGCACTTAGATCAGTAATGACACTTAAAAAAAACTCAGTACAGTTTCTACTTTTACCCTTCACTGTAAAACAAGGTTAACTATAAAATAATGTTAACTGCAATAACATCAAATTTAGCAATTACTCCAATCTAATAAGATACCTAATATCATTTCACTAGGATGTAATTTGGTTAGAAGCATATCTTTTTGAAGTAAGCAGAAAATAATAGTAGACAGATTTAATCCAGTAAGTGTTGCCATATGGTTCACTGTATTTAGTGGTATAACACCTTGTTTAGAATTCCATTATGTGGTACTTACCAACCTGTTGTATAATTCATCTTTTCCCAGGATATATTTCAAGAGAATGTGTTATGATTCATTCATTCTCCCTGCCCCTTGATGCTTAATATACACTCAACAAAGAGTAACTTAACAAATCTATTTGATGAATGAATGAATCAGCACACTGGAATAATGTTAAATGTTTATCTTATATCTCAAGTACATGTGAAATGTTTAAAGCTAACACTAACTTAGACTAATGGAGGGGTGGGTGTGGTGGCACAGCACATCTAATTCTGACCGCAAATGCTGGCATCTCATGTGGGCACCAGGCCTGGCTGCCCCACTTGTGATACAACTCCCTGACTATGGCCTGGGGAAGCAACAGAGGATGGCTGCAGTCTTAGGGCCCCTGCACCCACGGGGAAGAAGCTCCTGTCTCCCAGCTTCGGATCACCTAGCTGATGCAGTCATTTCCAGAGTGCATCAATGGATAGAAGACTTCTCTGTCTCTCCTTTCTCTCTGTAAAAATCTGCCTTTAAAATAACAAGAAATCTGGGTCTCACGATATAGTTGTGTCTAAATCCTCACCTTGTGTGTGATGGTATTTTTTCTGGGTGCTAATTCATGTCTTGGCTGCTCCACTTCCTTCCAGCTCCTTACTGGCCTTGGGAAGCATTAGAAGGTGGCCTAAAGCCTTGAGACCCTGCAACCACATGGGAGACCTGGAAGAACCTTCTGGCTCCTGGCTTTGGATCAGCTCAGCTACAGCCGTTGTGGCTACTTGGGGAGTGAACCAGTGGACAGATTTTTCTTTGTCTCTGCTCTCTGTAAATTTACCTTTCCCATAAAAATAAAAACTTTGGAAAGGCAGATGCACAAAGAGGAGGAGAGACAGGAAAATCTTTTGTCCAACGGTTCACTCCCCAAGTAGCTGCAACAGCTGGAGCCGAGCCAATCTGAAGCCAGGAGTGAGGATCTTCTTCCAGGTCTCCCAAGCAGGTACAGGGACCCAAGGCTTTGGGCTATCCTTGACTGCTTTCCCAGGCCACAAGCAGTGAGCTGGATGGGAAGCGGGGCTGCCGGGATTAGAACTGGCACTCATATGGGATCCCAGTGCATTCAAGGTGAGGACAGCTGCTAGGCTATCATGCCAGCTCCATAAAAATAAAATAAAATCTTTAAGAAAATAAAAACAAGTCTGAAATAAAACTTGGAGTAATGGTAATCCTAACAATTTATTTTATGCAAAGCACTGTTCCAACTGCTTTACTATGCTTTGATTCATTTAACTCTTATAATAACACCATGAAACAAATATTACTGCTACCTATATCCATACTTTTGAGAAAACGGAGGCATAGTAGATTAAAGTCTTTGTATAAGCTAATATAGGCAATAGCATAAATTGCTTAACAGTGAATTCACTAAATGGCTCTGGGAGAAAAAAATCTTTGCAGAGCTGAAAATTATGGGCCTTGGTAGCTCTAATACAGTAATGATAATGTTAGAAAATTCTGCTTATTATCCCAAATATTTATAAATCCTAACTCCTTAGAGACTCATTACATCCCCTCATACAGGATGCGTATAATGACTTTACTTGAGTAATAAGTTTATCACTTTTGTTAACTCTGAAATATTATGTCATTGAAATATTGCAGAACTCTAAGCCTGGGATTTAATATATTAACTAAAATGTTAGTATTAACATCTTTTGTCAGACTATCCTCAGTATAGTCTATCACTCAAAAACTTTTTTAAAAGTATCCTGAATACAAATGAAGCTTAACAAGATTAAACATGAAATATTTGAAATGTCACATCACTGAAAATGATAGGACATAATCTTTGTGTGTGATCTCAACTTTCTCTTAATAGTTACTCCTAAAATCACTTATTAGCATACTTACCTACGATTGCTATAGTATGTAAATCCGACAAAAGGTAGCTGATTGCCAACAAAAGCTTTAGGAATAGGGAATGTTTCTTCATCTCCTTTATCTTCTTCCAAGTCATCAAAATTACTCGTATCAATATCACTACTTAAATCAGGCACAACTGGTGCTACAGCTAAAAACAGAAACAATATTAGTTATTCATTGCAAATTTAACACATAAAGATTTCAAATCAACTGTTAATGTTTCTCTTTTACAAGTAGCCTGTGAATCACAAATTCCAAATAGTTGAATCTTTTGTACTATGCTTTACTTAGATTAAAAAGGTTAGTATTAATCATTATATATAACATGCATTGATTTTTTGGTTCCTTGCTTTTACTTGGCACAACCTTGGCCATTCCAGGAATTTGAGGAGTGAACCAGACAATGGAAGCTCCAAAAAGAAATGTGCATACATCAGGGAGACTTCTAAAGAGATTCAGAGCAAATGTGTGATATCTTCTCTGATGGACTCAATCTTTTTTTTTTTTTGAAGACTTACTTTATTATTAATTTTTTTTATTGGAAATTCAGATATACAGAGAGAAGGAGAGACAAAGAGAAAGGTTCTCCATCCGTTGATTCACCACGCAAGAGGCTGCAATGGCTGGAGCTAACCTGATCTGAAGCCAGGAGCCAGGAGCTTCTTCTGGGTCTCCCATGAAGGTGCAGGATCCCAAGGCCTTGGGCTGTCCTTGCTTGCTTTCCCAGGCCACAAGCGGGGAGTTTGATGGGAAGTGGGGCCACCGGGACAAGAACCGGCATCCATATGGGATTCTGGTCCACACAAGGCGAGGACTTTAGCAGCTAGGCTACTGCGCTGGGCCTGGACCCAATGTTTTTATAAGACAATTTAGAGTGGTATTAAAATGAGAAAAATTTCGCTTAAATTCTGAATGACTTCGCTGGTTTTGGAGTAGCCCAACACTGTCCACTGCAGCCCACTTGGAGAGAACCAGGACATAGAGGAGCTCTCTATCTGCTTCTCCCTAATGTCGGCTTTCCAATTGGAAAAGATAAAACTTTAAGGAAGAATGATTGATGATGGAGGAAGGAGAGAGAGCAAAGGGAACAAAAAAAGTGAACATAGTTTAAAAAAATTGTGGGACCCTATCTATCAAACCAACATAATTACATGAATTGTAGAAAGCAGAGAAAGTGGCAGAAAAAAAAAATCTTTGAAGGAATAATGGCCAAAATCTTGCTAATATGATAAAACCTACATAAATTAGAAACCAAACCAAGCCAACGAGAGGGCATTTTATTCAGTGTTTAGGAAGTTCCTTCAGACACCCACCCACATCTGATACTGCAATCCCTGAGATCAAGGTTTGGTTCCACTCTTGATTGGAGCTTCTTGATAATAACACCCTGGAAGGTGACAGGTGATGGCTCAAGCAGGTGGAATCCTGCCACTCACATGGAAGCCCTAGATTGAGTTTCTGGCTCCTGGCTTGTTCTCAGCCTTGTGTGGGTAGTGAACCAGCAGATGGGAGCTCTTTCTACCTCTCTGTCTCTCAAATGTAAATAAATTAAAAACAAAAACAAAAAGAAAGAAAAAAGGCTTATAGAGCAATACAACTTAAAAAAACGAGGCAATTTTGGTGCCCCCTACACCCCCCAAATCATGAAACTATACAGTTTTCTTGGGCATTTGGGATGCAGACACTGAAGGTTGTGGCTTTATCCACCACATCATTTTTTTAAGCTTTATTTATTTTGGGGCCCTTTTTGTTGTAGCCTAATAGCTAAAGCCCTTGCCTTGTACACACTGGGATCCCATATGGGTGTTGATTCATATCCCAGTGGCCCCGCTTCCCATTCAGCTCCCTGCTTGTGGCCTGGGAAAGCAGTTAAGGCTGGTCCAAAGCCTTGGGACCCTGCACCCGTGTGAGAGTCCTGGAAGAAGCTCCTGACTCTGGATCAGGTTAGCTCCTGCTGTTTTGGCCACTTGGATAATGAATCCACTGAGGGAAGATCTTTCTCAACTTTTCTCCCTTTCTCTATAAATCTGAAAAAGATTTACAGTGAGGAGGAGAGACAGAGACACAGAAAGATCTTCTGTCCACTGATTCACGCCCCAAGTGGCCAAAACAGCTGTAGCTGATCTGAAGCCAGGGGTCTCCTCTGTGTCTCCCATGTGGATGCAGGGTCCTACACTGTGGGATGCCCTCTACTGCTATCCCAGGTCACAAGTAGGGAGCTGGAAGGAAATGGAACAGCTAGGACACAAACTTGGGTGCCCATATGGGATTCCAGTGCATGACAGCCGAAGAAGAGATTAGTCACTAGGCTACTGCACTGGGTCCTCACTACTCTATGTTTTAAAGCTTACATGAAAAGGAATCCATTATAATGCTGTGAAAGTCTTATGTCTCATATTAAGATGCATAGAATAAAATCTGAAGACTTTATTCAGTGCATACTGACCATTACTTCCAAGGAAATATAAACTTAAATGCTGTAATTTATTTCTCTGAGTAGTTATTTAAATGCTTTAAGTTATTTTTCTTAGTAGCACAAAGACAGAAATGAAGATACAGGCAGAAAAAGCAACAGTTCACTCTGCACAAATATCTACAGCAGCTGGACCTGGGCTAGAGTGAAGTTAGGAACTCCCAGGTGGGCAGTAGGGCCTCTACAAGGACTTGTAAGTTATTGCATTTTGCTCAACATATTATTAATCATGTTTTAGATTATGTAATATGTTTCATCATTTTCTTTTCCCAAGGGAGCAACTTTTATCAACTGTTAGTCCTTCTATTTTGGCACGTATAACACTAAAAGATGGAGGTCTTTAAAGTTTACCACTGGAATCCTGACATGGTCATTTATTCTCAAAGAGAATTGCAAGAAGTTATTTGGATCTTTTCATTTCCTTTATGTTGGGTCTTTAAACCTTACTTTGTCGCTTCTTTAATTCTATCTCAAATGAGTGAAAAATAATTTTACAATCATTACTCTTTACATGTAAGTGAAGGATGAAAAAGATAAGGAATCCCATGGTAATCCTGCCAATATTCAGGCTATTTTGACCCTGCTCCCAAACATTACCAAACAGTACAAGCTGAAGGTTAACTTGTTATTGCAATCTGGAGTCATCTAAGTGGCAAAACCAACAAAAGAACTGTTACCTGTAAAAAGTTTAACTTTGCCAAAGAAAACTGGAGATTAAAAAAAATTTTTTTCAGAAGAAATTCTGTTACATAATTTTTAAATATTTAGGAGGTCAGAGTGGTCAGTTCAGGATTAAAATATTCTTGGTATTTTAAGGGTGGGAAGTGAAGAAAGGGTAGGAAGAGGGAAAGGCAAGACCAGAACAATAAGTTGCACAGACTTCAATTTTTCATGTTTTTCAATAACAACTAAGGAAGACCCATTAGGACTAGAAAAAGCTATCAGAATTTTCCTAAGAATACTAAGTCAAACTATCCTATAATAAAACAGTAGATAGCAAAATAAAATTTAAGAAGATAAAAAATTATAGTAATCAATATTAGTAACGTTGGGAATAACAGCATATAAAATTCATTTGCTATAAATCAATTAAGTGATTCACTCTATCTTCTTCATGTATAAAAGCAGTTATATTTTAAAGGTACAGCTATATAAGATAATAAAGTGCCATCAAATTCTGAACTGCTCAATAGCATGACACTATGAATCTCAAGGTAAGTTTGGCTGGCTTGTTCACTGTGTTTTGCCAGTGCTTGAAAAAGAATAATGCTCAGCATGAAACAGGCACACAATATCAACTTGCTAACTTCTCTCCTAATTAATGTTAATTTTTGAAAATAAATATATATCTTCCCTATTTTTCAGAGTGCTTCACTGATCTTTTTAGCTATTTATATGTGATTACTTTGAAAACCATTTTTCAGCAATCCAAAATTCTTTGTATCTTCTTCTGTTCCATTTTAAGTAATTTTCAAACTTATGAAGATATTTGTACATTTTCAGCCTTCTTAAATGTAACCAACAACGTAACTTCAATAAAAACAAAGTTTTCCAATTTAAGCATTTTTTACTACTTGTTCATTTCTTTCTCTTGCAGCAATTTATACTGTAGCCTGAAGATAGCCACGCTGTCCTATTTACTTAGGAAGAGTAGGAAGTTCTTTATTTTCCAGCCTATAACTATTACTAAATTCTCCCAAGGTCAAACTGCTTTTGTAGCTTATCCAGACAGCCAGTTAGTAAATGACAATCTTTGTTGTGGTGTAATTTCTTAATTTCCAAAGGAATTTATTTCCCTTTTTCCTTTCTAAGACAATTTTATAGCCTAGTACAATGAGTGTACTGTATTTGAAGCTGTATTCACTTCTTTAAAAACATTTGATAATTAGAACGTTTCACTAGCTCCAGCTGTAAGTAACTGCCTGGGTTGCCTTGTACTTGGGCAAGTCTTAACACTGCTGGGAGAAAAACAGCCAACAGCTGGTGAGCATTCTGGGCCTGGTTAATGCCAAACTTGTTTTAACTATACCAGTGTGCCAGTACAGTTGTCTATTTTTTTAAAAGATATGTGGGGAATGTCTGACTGGGACACACCACTCCGGCCCCCCCGGGGGGAGGGGTTACGCTGCAGACTGCCCAGGGAAAAGGATCTGGGGAAATATTTGGAGGGGCAGTGGCTGGCAGCATGTTTTAAGACCCCAACAAACAACTTCTGGGATCTTCCGTGGACCAGGCCACAACACTTGCAGGTGCACAAGGAAGTTGAAATGATATGGCATAGAGAGGCAAACTGGAGGGCATGTCTGGTCAGGCCAAGGCCTTTGCCCATGTGGGAGACCTGGGCTGGGCTAAATAGCATGGCTTTACTGCCTACTTGCACATGCAAAAACTGGGGCTAGGGTGGGGGTGAAGGGATACTTGGCTGGACTAAGCTGTAGTACCTGACTGTGGAATGTTCAGGCACAGGGTGGGCCACATCAGGCTGGGCTGCATCATCTACTAGAACGCGAGAGAACCAGATCTGGAGGCAGATTCTGTAGGGGACTTGTGTGCTGACCTCTGAGACTGTAGCACCTGCCAATTTGTTCAGAGATCTAGGGATGGTGACAGGCTGAGCCAGGCTGGACCACAGAACTCACCTGATACTTGCGGGGAGCTAGGGCTGGGCTGGGGCTGGGCTGGGGCTGGGGCTGGGCTGGGCCAGGATATAGCACTCACTGGGCATATGCAAAGGTCAGTGTAGAAGGACATTGTGATTTGTAGAAGAAGAGCAAACATAGGATGACAACTGATAGGATATCATTTGTATAAGAACTGATTGGATATACAAAACAAACAGATAGTTTCAAAGAAGGGTGTGGAAACAATTGATGGGTTCTGTAGAAAAGTTTATCGGAACTAGTAAGCTCCTCAATACCTCCTCACTTATCCTATGTGAGCCTCAGTCTATAAAAGCCTGGTGTCACTAATAAACTTCGGCTACCTCACCAACACAGTGGTCCATGTGCGTTATTATAGGCTCGGAGCACCAAGTCCATCGCTGCAGGATAGCGAACAGGCCATGACTTGATAAAGGTAGATAATGCCAAGCAGCTGTTAGCCTTGAGTTCCAGGGCTGGGAATGCACCTGGTAGGGAATCTGGGGAACTTCCCGGCTATGTTGAACCTTCCACTGGGGAGCACAGGAGTGGGGATGAGGGTAGGACAGGACAGGCAAGGCTGTAGTAGTTGTTGGCATTTATGTGGGCAGGTTTGAGAGAAGGTGGGTCAGGATACAGCATCCACTGGCATGAGTGAGTCAGGACAGAATGTGGGTCATGCATGGATGGACTAGGCTTCAACACTGACCAACCAAAGCTGAGACTGTGGGTGGGCCAGGCAAGACTGGGTTGAAGCACCTGCCAGCAAGCACAAGATTCAGGGCTGGGAACCAGCCTGCTATGGGAATTCTGGGGACCCCACCCTGTCAGGCTAGAGCTCCCACTGGTGAGTGTGAGAGTCAGAGCTGGGGGCATATCAGGATGGCTAAGGCCGCTGTATATGCTGGCTGGGTTTGGGGACAGGCCAGACTGGGCCAGGTCCTAGCATCTGATGGTGCTCCTGAGAGCCAGAATAGGTGTGGATAGACTGAGTTAGGCTGCAGCACTTACCAGTTCACAGGAGAGCTGGGTTTTTCAGTGGGCCAGGTTTAGTATCCACTGGTAAGAGAGGAATGGATGCTGACCAGTGGGCTAGGCCATGGTATCTGAGAGTGAGTGTGAGGACTGGGGGCCAGCCATGTCAAGCTGGGTTGCAGCATCCACAAGATGCAGGGCTGGGAGCAGGCCTAGTAGGATAACTTAGGGAATTTCCCTACTCCACTGAAGCTGCCACTGGTGAGTGTGAAAGCCGGGTCTGGGAGCAGCCCAGGGAAGGCTGGACTGCAGCACCCATTGGCATGTGTGTGAGCTGGGCCTGGGGGTGGGCTATAATGGTCCAATTCACAGCACACACAGCCATGACTGAGAACCAGAATTCAGCGCAGGCCAGGCTGGGCTGGACCACAATACCTGCCAGTTAACAAGAGGGACAATGTAGGCCAGGCTGGGTTAAGTTGCTGTAACAACCAGTGAAAGCTGGGTCTTGAGGTGGGCCAGGCTGAGCCAGGCTGTAGCACCTGCTGGTGAATGCTGAGACTAGAGGCTGGCCATCTCAGACTGGGCTGCAGCACCCACTGGCACACTAAGACCAAGGGCTGGGAACGGGCCTGGTAGGGGTAACCTCAGTGACTCCCTTATTGGGTTGGTGCCTCCACTTGTGATCATGGGAGAGGAGAATGGGGGCTGGCCAGGCTGGGCTAGTGTATAAGAGCTGGTGTGTACAAAAGCAAAATGGGTGTAGGCAAACCAGAATAGGCCAAGTACCTGCTGGCAAGTGCTGGAAATGACTCCAAGTCATGTGATCCTGGATAGCAGTAGGCCTGGCAGGTGCAATATCTACTGCTGGAGTAGGTTTGGTAGGGGAATTTTGAGCACTCTCCTGCTGGACTGAAGCTCCCACTGGTGAGCATCTGAACCAGGGCTAGGGACGACCAGATTGATCATAGTAGCACCTGTTGGCATAAGTGTATGGGGCAAGCTGGGCTACAGCACACAAGGATGTGCATTAGAGGTAGGTGGGAGGTAGGCTAGGTTAGGCTACAGCAGACCGGCACATGCAAAAACCAGGGCTGGGGGTGGTACTAGTGGGAGTTATTGGGGATCACCTCAAGAAGCCCATAGCATCTTCTTGTGTGCTGGATTGTGCTAGCCACAGTACCCATCAGCTGACTAAGAGATGAGGCTGGGGGCAAAACTGACCAGGCTGCTGCACTGGCTGGTGCACACAAGAGTCATCAAGTCTGACGTCACCCCAGGCAAGGTTTCTTGGAGGATTCCCCGATTAGTCTGCTGGACTCAAACCCCAGCCACAGGGAAAATCACAATATGAGTGCATGCATCAGCACTGGGCGTCCTCAGGTGCTGATGCCTGTGCAGCGAACAGCATGTCCAGATGCACACGAGGGACATGATAGCCGGCTCACGTAGGCAGCAGAGGATGCTGACTGCCTTATCAGAGGATAAAAATCAGAACAGGTAGAACTGCTCTTCTAGCCAAGCTTTGCAACATGTTTCTGGGCCTGGGATGCACTAATTTGGCCTTTGTCAACCAACAGACCTTGGAAAGATTTCCTCAACCTCAGTACAACAAAGCTGACAATGTCTTGGAACTATCTTCCCTATATCAAGGTCTTTAAGGTGTCATCGAGGGACGGTCCCCTATCCCTGGGTGCTGATGTAGTTTGACAGTAAATAAGCAGTTTGACTATACCTCCACTTCCCCACTGCAGACACAGGAGAAAAAAAAATTGAAACATTTGTCCCACCTGCCTTCTTCCATTCTTTGACCCTCTCCACCCTAACTGAAGACCTACACGGGTGTGCATCCTTCTCAATTATGTAAACAATATTAAAAATAAATTAAATTTTAAAAAGAATACTTCACTAGTACTGGCAAACCTGCATCACCTAGTCAAACAAAATTACCAAGACTTTTTTCTTACAAAGAGCTGCCATGTTGCTTATCAATTACATATAGTCCTCAGGATAAACATTTAATTTGTAACTGTGCCTAAGTTAAGTTTATTTACATGATTAATGATTATTACAACTGGTAGTAGGAAGTCAGGGGGAAGGACAGATAAATGGAAAGGGAAAAGGGTTTGAGACTTCAACAGGTCAGATAGTTTGGCCTCCCAACTCCACAGAGGATACAAACCTCTGATGTCATTATATATGTATTGAACCATGTTGTACAAAGATTCTGGTGAATCTTTTCACAGTTTCAACTTTAAAAGTAAGATAATATTTTAAACTAAAAATTAGCTTCTTATATGCAACATATTTTTATTTTTGAAAAAAAGTTGCTATATCTAACAGGATCACATATAATTAATTTTGCATATCCTGATAAGCAGACTAAGATCAAATTCTGGCATTTCAATATTGATAGCTCCTTAAATTTTAGATCTTAACAAAAACAATAAAATAACATTTTCTCAAGAACATACATTTTTATTTCACTTTCCTATTTTGTGGTTTCCTATATAATGGCGAAACTAAAATAAAAGCAATCCACCAAAACTCACATGCTCAATTAAGACTGCTGAACCTGTTCTATTACATCTACATATTTCATCTGGGTATCCCGAGTGGCATATTAAATTAGCAGCACCACAATTTCCTCAATGATGTCAGATATTCTTGGGGTGGGTGTTGGTGCTACAGTTATGACACAGCCTGGGATACCCATATCCAGCATCAGAGCGCCTGGGTTTCAGTTTCAGCTCTACTTCCCCGTTCCAGCTTCCTCCTTGGGGGTAGCAAGTCTGATTCAAGTGCAGAAGTCTCTGATACCCACAGGGGAGACTTGCTCCTGGCTTACATCTGACCCAATCCTGCCTGCTGCAGATGGGAGTCCTTTATATCTGTTTTTCTATCTCCCAAATAAATAAAAAAATTGCTAATAAAAAACAAAACAAACAAACAAAAACGCTTACTTTAACTAGAGCAGAACAATCTCCATGCAGTATCTGTGTAGCTCTTAGTTTCATCAAATATACATAAATGTTTAGCAAGGCAATTTCAACAGGTTATTCAGTGCAACTAATTTCAACTGTGCACTGTAATGTGACAGAAAAAAATAACTTACTGTCTCGGAGTGTTTCCCAAGCCCATTGGTCATTTTTGAAGAAAAGATGTCGTTTGATTTCTTCTACGCCATTTCGCCCTAATCTCACTTCTCTGAAAAGAGATTGAAGGAGAAAAGTAATTAGTCACTTGAGATATGTCCAGGTTTGTTTGTGGGCAGAATGCCATATTACAGCAGGATGACTAAAGTAGTGCTATGTTACCTGAAAAAACACAGATTGTTACCGTAACAATCAGCTCAAATACAAAATAACTTGAATACTGAAAGAACATGAAAGAATCATTTGAAAAAACAGTACAGAAAAAAAATACACAAAATTTTTTGATGCCTTAAGCTGTATTAGAGAAATCAGCATCACCTGCACTCCGGTTAAGCACTTATGCACAAAGAAAATATAGCCCAACCTTTTTTACAGGTAAAAGACAAAACTGCTTTAGATATATTAAACTTTCTCTAAATAGATTTCTCTGACTTCCCTGACTAGATTGGAGAACCTCTCCCCCCAGCAAATAGTACCTATTCCACGGTAAATATTTTTTCTGCACTGTAAATGTGCTTGTATATATCCTCCAAAGGATTGAAAGCAATCTGAGAAAAGTGATTGCATATTTTTCTTATTTCTATATCCATAGCACCTAACACACATGAGGAAAATTTAGAGAGGAGGGGAAGAAAGAGATCTTCTATCTACTTGTTCATTCGCTAAATGGTGACATGGCTGTAGCCAAGCTGAGCTGATGCCAGATTTTTCCTGAGCCTTTGATGTGAGAGCAGGAGTTCAAGGATTTGAGCCACCCTCTGCTGCTTTTCTAGTCCATAAGCAGGGAGCAGAATCAGAAGTGGAGCAGCTGGACCTAGAACCAGTGTCCATATGGGATGCTAATGTGGCAGGCAGAGGATTAGTCTGTTGAGCCACCAAATCAGCCTCCTGCCATAGCACAGTTCATTAAATTAAAATATAAGTTTTAACATTACAACTTTTTTCAAATTCTTTTTTTTTTTTTTGATATGTTTTATTTTTATTGGAAAGGCAGATTTATAGAGAGGAGAGACAGAGAGGAAGATCTTCCGTCCGATGATTCACTCCCCAAGTGAGCTGAAACAGCCGATGCTATGCCAATTCGAAGCCAGGAGCCTCTTCTGGGTCTCCCACGCAGGTGCAGGGTCCCAAAGCTTTGGGCCGTCCTCGACTGCTTTCCCAGGCCACAGGCAGGGAGCTGGATGGGAAGTGGGGAGGCCGGGATTAGAACCGGCGCCCATATGGGATCCCGGGCGTGCAAGGCGAGGACCTTTAACCACTTGCGCCATCGTGTCGGGCCCTCAAATTCTTATAAATAAAGTAATGAAGAAACAGAAATTGATCTGAACTAAGGCAGATCTCAAATGGAAATATATTTAAAAGTACTAGGCTTCCCTACTAATTTATCTAGCAACATACAAACATTCAATGTAATCTTACTAAGTCATATACCAAGTTTACTCTTAAATTTAAAAAGTCTTAAGAATATATACAACATATACATAACTTTAAAAAAATTACATACATGCATATACATTTATTTAATCATGCTATTTACAAGAAAGCAGGTAGGAAAGATATTATTTTTATAGTTTTATACCACTTATTTTATTTCAATAAGCAAAACAAGAATATCATAAATCTAAAATGATATAACTTATAAGACATATTTTTGGCTAGCATTAGAGGAAAAAGCTTCAAATTAATACATATCCTGGATTGTGAAATTTATTCTAATAAGAGACATTAATACCTATAAAATTACTTTGGAGGTTGTCCTTGCATAGAATGTTAAGTTTCTGCCTGCAATATTGGCATCCCATATTGGTGCCAGCTTCTGCCCTGACTGCTCCACTTCATCTAGCTCCCTGCTAACCTGGGAAAGCAGTGTAAGTTGGTCCAAGTGCTTGGGTCCATACCACCCACGGACAGACCCAGAAAAGCTTCTGGCTTCTGCTTTGGCCTGATTCAGCCCCGGCCTTTGCAACCATTTGGAGGGTGAACCAGCAGATTTCACACTCTCTCTCTGTAGCTATGCCTTTTAAATAAACAAATCTCAAAACAAAAACAAAAACAGTTACTTGGACTCAATATGTAGCTCAGATATGGATCTTAAAAGCTCAACGGCAATATTAGAATTCCTTGGAATGAGCAGAACTTGAATGCTAAGATTACTTACCTATCAGTAAGGAATGCACAAATTAGATTTTTTGCTTCTTTTGATATGTCATTATCATCAGGGAAGGTAAGTGAGTTTTTATGGTTCATAATTTTACTGTAAGTCCCAACCAGAGAATCAGCATAAAAAGGTGTATCACCTGAAAAGTTGATAGGGAAAACAAAAGTAGAATTAAAAAAAAATTGAAAAATAATGAATTTCAAAGGAAAAATAAAATTAAAGCTATTTGTTCAAAAAGATGCTTAAGGATGTGCTAAGCTAAAACACTTATAATGAGATCAAAATGTTGCTCTAACCTCTAAGTTTTTAAAACACATAGAAAAAGCAGGTTTGAATCATATTTATTTCCCTAAAACAAAATCAACACGCTCAATGTAGTAAGCATTATATTACAAGGAACCAAATGGGATGAACTGTATCAGAGATAGAAAAAAAATCTTCCTTTACTTACCCACAAGCATTTCATATAAAAATACTCCAACTGACCACCAGTCACATTCCCGTCCATAATAACCATCGCCACCTTGGGATTTTAGTACTTCAGGAGAAATATAATCAGGTGTTCCAACTGCCGTATCGCATCGTACCATACCTTCCTAAAAGAAGAAGTAGGTCAAATTTTAAATTAGGAGACAAATAAACTCCTAAAAATTACTTCGTTTTTAACATAACCTTTAGAACCTCAAATTGTTGCTATAAAATATCAAAGCTTAAAAGCAAACCATAACCAGCTTAATCACAAATACATACTGTCTACATGATATATAATATACACTACTATGTCTATACAAATATGTACATTGGTGTTTTTTTTTTTTTGTAAAAATACTCAACAGAAAGACACATTGCCACAATTTATTATCCCCCCAACTAATATATCCATTCTCATTGTGGAGAGTAGGTATATAAGCCAATACAAATAGACCAAGGGGCTAACAGAGCAAAACATTTCATAACATTAACAAATATAAATACAAATACTGATTTCAAAATTGTTTCCAAAAACTGTTGTCTGGTTTAGCTGTGCTGGAAATAGCAAAGCAAACCTGAAAAAGTTGCCTGTATAAATATAAAATGAGAAAGCATATATATGGGAAAATGGCATGACACTATCAGGCGCAATGAATACCTGACATGCATTTTTTAATGCCTTCTCCTTCTAAAAGCTATTTATGCACTTATTTATTTTAGTTGCTGTTAATCCAGAATTATAATTAAGTGTTCACATAGAAAGTTCCCATATAGTGCTTCCTTTTAGCCAATAAATTTCCTTTTAAAATAATAAACATGGCACTCTGACTACTGTTAAATTTTCAAAGATAAACTGGTTCAACTGAAGATAGACTGGTATGCTTGCTTCTTCTGGAGTGTACAAAGTCATTTATGATAAAAGTGAGAATGGCTACATCTTAGGACTGTCTCAAGTAAGCAACAAAATCTTTCATATGTTAATAGAAGGAAAATAAAATGGTAAAATAACTTTACTGAAATACAATTTTTATGAAAGTCTAATTTTAACATTGACACAAATAATTTAGTCATATTTCAGCTATCTACCATTGTAGTTACTGAGGGTATATATTAGAAAATTGTTACATAAGATTTAATATGTTTGGCAATCCACATTTACCCCAAATAGAGAGGAAAAAATAATCAGGAAGAAGCAGTTGTAGCACACTGAAGCCACGGTATATGGCCCAACAAATAAGGTCACAACAATCTTGAACAAGTGTAGATATGGTTAGCAAATCCTTACAGTATTTTCTAAAGAGGCACCTATCTTGAGTTAGCAAAAACAATTAAGAATCTAATTAGTTAACCTTATTCATCTTCATACAAGTACCAAAATCTGCTAATTTCAAATGTCCAGACTTATCCAGCAGCATGTTATCAGGCTTCACATCTCTGAAGGAGAAAAACAAAGGATTTATAAGCAGATCAGATACTAGTAAAAACTATATAAAGTAGTAATTTAGGTTAAGTATCTTTATTTAATCTAGACAAGGCTACCCTTGACCCACGTGCATTCTCTGTCTACATGTACAAATTGAAATTTATCAAGGAAACCATTTGAAAGAGAGAGATTAACATTAAAAAAAGGTAATACATAAACATAAAAGGTAATTGGAATAGGTAAGATAGGGAAGTTGTGAGCAACCTCCAGACAGGGTCTAAGTCGCTTTCATGGCTTATACTGAACATGTAACACACCAACTGCTAATAGGATTCAAGCACTGTTTGTAGAACAAATAAAAATTTTCCTTTAATGAATAAACATATGTGACCTGTTCACTAAACAAAAGCAATCGGATTTGTGTGCTACAAAAATTAAAGTATTTAAGACCTGTATGTATATCTCAGAAAACCAATGATTTGGATTTTTCAGAATACCAAAAAGTTATGTAAGATTAATATTAAAAATATATTTATATTAATATTAACCTGAAATGCTAAAGCTAAAACTTCACAGTTTTAAATTCTGAAATGCCACTCACATTAGAAAGGAGGAAAATAGGTGGATATAGCCTGGAAAATGTTAATATTCTTTTTCAGCATTCCTTTAAACAAATGAGAAAATTTCAAGCACTTTAATATTTACCTATGAATAAAACCCATGGAATGGATTGCATCCAATGCAAGAACCACTTCTGCAGTGTAGAAGCGTGCCCATTTTTCAGGCACATCATAGTTGCTCATTAAGTTTACAAGATCTCCACCAGGCATGTATTCCATGACCATGTACAAATAACGATCATCTTGAAATGCATAAAAAAGCTGTAAAAACAACAAGCAAACTCAGAAAAACTTGTTTGAGAAAAAATACTAATGTGGTAATTAACTAAAATAATCAAATTATTGACTAGTAGTTGTAACTTTAATTTTAAAAGAAAGATAAATACCATAAAGACTCATATATATATAAACCGGTTATCCTGAAGAGATATAGGATCTCATGGAGACCCTATTTTCTTCATAATCATTTACAGTATTTAAAGTTTAAAGAGAATTTAAAGAATCTATGAACTGCAAAGAAATACTTGATTTAACTTACACATTTTTGAGGTTTACTGTTAAATTAGCATCAATACCACAATTCTGAAGAAGTCCTTAGGTATAACAACATGTTCAGGGGGATCCTTAGAGCTGGGACTATAATCTTCCTAGAAAAGCATAAGGGACTACCAGATCTTCCATCTGCTGCCTCATTCTTCAAATGGCTGCAATGGCTGCAGTGGCTAGCTATGGGCATAATGCTAGGAGCCAGAACTCTATTTGGATCTCCCATGTGGAAGACAGGGGCCTAAGCATTAGGGTCATTTTCCACTGACTTCCAGGCACATTAGCAAGAAGTTGGATTATAAGTGGAGCAGGGAAGACTCAAACAAGTGCTAGGCCGAATCTAATTTGCCTTTCCCATGCGTTGTTCAGTCAGCATCTGAATACAGGGCAGTTCAGAGTTGCTTAACAAATGCTTAATGAACAACATAATGAATTAATCTATAAAATTCTGGGCTCATATCTAATGGGAATTAACTAACTTTCAAGAAAGAGCAGAAGCAACTAACAGGGAAGAGGGCAACAGAAACTCATCGGTGCAGAATTTGCTATACCATAAGGCATATATCTATTATAATAACAGGCTAAAGCAAACAGAACAAATTTACGGAAGAATATTTTAAGTACACGTAAGCTGAGAGTTAAATTAAAACAAAACAAGCTCTGGGAAAAATAATACCCAATTCACCTAGATACACTTTTCAAATGTCTTTAAAATATTTATCTTATTTTTTCTAACACTGTTAAATGATTTTTTTCAACAGTGTTTAATAATTTTTTAGTTGCAGACTTTTTAGTTTAAAAATCTAGGGGAAAGAGGAAAGATAAGAAAACCAAGTGGTATTTCATGATCATGTCAAGTAAAAGTTTACAATTTTTAATATGGGCTCCATAATGAGAAATATTGTTAATGTGGCAGTAGTTTATTCTACTTATACATAAAGAACTTCTTCTAATTGAGGAGGAAGATAAATGAAGCTCTGCATGTCTAAATTGTAAATGTAGCCCTGAAAGTAACAATTACATCATTTACTGTTTTAACTCTTTAAAAGAACACTGAACACTCATGTACCAGTATTCCTCAACTGGAGGTAATACTGTCCTGCCCACCCCTCCCCACGAATGCTTACTCAATAAAACCTGAAACCATGCGTGTCTGTTTCTCACAACTGGCAGGTGTATGGGTGAGGCAGGCTGCTATTGCCATCTCCCAGGTAGAGGCCAAGGACACTGTTAAACGTAATAAAAAAGCATCCTGGAAAACGGAAGCACAGGAAAGTCCTGACAACAAAGAACTGCCTGGCCCCAAACACCAAATCCTGGAAAAATACTGACTGACATGGTTGAAAAAAATGGAATAAACTTTTCAAATTTAAAGTGTTACTGTAGGGTCTGGTGCATATGGGTACCAGCTCATGTCCCAGTTTCCCCGCTTCCCATCCAGTGTCCTACTTGTGGCCTGGGAAAGCAGTCAAGGACATCCCAAAGCCTTGGGACCCAGAAGAGGGAGAGTGCGAGAGCCGGAGGAGGCTCCTGGCTCCTGGCTTCAGATTGAGTCAGCTCTGGCTGTTTCAGCTGCTTGGGGGGTGAATCAATGGATGGAATATCTTCCTCTGTATATCTGCCTTTCCAATAAAAATAAATAAATCTTTAAAAAAAAAACACTTCTTTATTAAAATGTTACTGTGTGTCTTCAATATTTCCTATATCCTTTTTATTCAAAATACTAATATGCTACATAAGACCATCTTCATTATAAAGTATAAGCAAATATATGCTAGAGAATTAAGAAATAATCTAGTCCAGTTTACTTTGTCTATACAAAAAAAAATTAAAGACTTCAATGTATAAGACTGACACAATATGGAGCTGCCTCATAAATCTGTAGTGAAAACTGAAACATATACAGCATTATTTGGAGGCCTAATTTAACTAAGTTCTGTCCCATTTTCCTCCAATACCTCCCCTTCCCTTCCCCAAATTAAAAGACTAATAGATGGACAGACAGTTAAATAAGGGAAATTCACATCTGAAGTAGAAAAGTAAATTTAGGTATTAAAATAAATTATTGAAAGTTAGAGCATATTGTTAAATGAGTTTCCCAAATCAAAAAAGATCATTTGAATTTTCTACATAATTATTTTTGCTTTGGCCTTATTTTCCTTCTAATATGACTCAACAAAGTTTTATTGTTTTTAAACAAGATTAGATGCTTTAAAATTACTATTACTGCTTTAAAAACAAACTAGGCTTCTCATGCTTAGCCACAAGCTAAGACAACAGCAATGAAAATAGGTACAAAATCATACCTGAACAACCCAAGGACTGTTAGCAAATGCCATGATGTCTCTTTCTTCCCAGAAAAAAGCAGAATCAGATCTCTTAATCATTTCAAACTTGCTGAGAAGTTTCATAGCATACACCTTCCTGGTGGATTTATGCCTTACCTTTAAAATTGAAAATGGAAATTAATGAATCTTTTACTCTGTGTTTCACAGAACAAGTTATTAAATGATTATAAACACTTGTTACTTAATTTGGCAATGTTATTTATTTTTCTTTCTCCTGCTGAATTATCCCAATTAGCTAATATCAAGGCTTTAATTATCAGAAGTAATGTTAGAAAACACAATCTTAATCCCACAGACAACAGCACACTATTCCCAGCTATGTTACTTGGGATGTTGTTTCTTCTTATTTAGGCTTTTTTCCCCATAGCATATTAGATAGGCTAACACTAGAGCAAAATTCTCTTCAGATGTTTGAGACCCTTTTTCTAAAGTGAAAAACAATTCCCACGAATGCTGAATTTGACTCTAGGCTTTTATGCCAGTAGGCAGAAATATCTAGAACAATTTAAAGCAAAAATGCTATCAAAACATAACAATAAACATTATTTCCCCAATCATATACATTAAATACATAAGTTATTTTAATTTTAAAAGCCCTTTGTCTTAAATTTCATAAAGTAACCTACCAATTGAACTTCTCCAAATGCACCTCTACCAATCACCTTCACTACTTCATAATCTTCAGCTTTCATTCGTAAATCTCTAATTTTATTTATTGTGTCTTTATCTGTATGAAAAGAAAAACCTATTATTTTAAATGACTAAAGCATTTCACCATGTAATTTACATTACAGTTTTTCAGAAGCCATAAAAGAGAAGTAACTTAAACAGTGGAATCAGCGGGAATAAAAGTGACACTTAAGTTATAAACATGTTCAACGTGCTAAGAATTTCTAAAAATAAACTCTGAAATGACTTGAGTCATATAATATATTAATACATATTAATATATTAATAATACATTAATATATTGAGTGCATTAAAATCTGATTTAATAGAATATTTTTAAAACAAGCATTATCACTTCTCGGTCTTTTGGCTAAGATCAAGTGTAAAAACAAGCATCACACACACACAAAAAAAGTCTGGAGAATAAATGAGCTAATTAGCACTTGGTATTTTAACTATATATCCAGTTAAATCAGAGAACATGAATGGATATTTTGGATTCATGAGATACAATTTTATTTTTATGAAATCAGTTTTGGTAATCCTTTAAAAAGATGTTCATATAATATCAAGACAAATATGCTAAAAATAATAATTTCCAAACTGGCGGTTTTTAGTTACTTCCATCATTTCATTTCTTTACTTGAATCTAGATTTTAACTTAAAACAGAGGGGAAATGTTGCAATTATTTATATGAATCTGTCATGCTACAAACTACAATAATTTACAAATCCCTACTGGATAGATATTCTAATTCCTAATTTGGTCATAGATTAAAATAGGGCTATTTTAATCCACATGGGTCAACACTAGCCTGAGATTACATGGAAAAGCTTCACTTTTCAGATTTGCACAAAATAAAGGAGAGCAAATACATAGAAGTTCTAGTTCACAATACAATGCTATATTAATATTTTTAAATGTGCATTTGGACTCAAGTGGTTCTATACATTATGACTAATAAAGTCATGCAAGGGAGAACAAATTTCCACACAAAAAGAGCCTTCAGTACATTTAGCTTACAAATTCCCCTGAAATATGCCCCTGAGAAATACAACCAAGAAACTCATGCACTGCACATACATTTAGGTCTAACCTGTATAAGGCTCTGCAGTCCTCACTGTAGACAGGTAAATACAACTATAATCACAGTTCCTGGGGTGGGCACTGTGATACAGCAGGTAAAGTCGCTGTCTACAACACCAGCATCCCACGTGGGAGCCAGTTCCTGTCCTGACTGCACTTCTGATCTAGCTCCTGGCAATGGCTTGGCAAAATCAGCAAATGGCCCAGTTGCTGAGGGACCTGCCATCCAAGTAGAACACCTGGACGAAGCTCCTAGTTTGTTGCTTTCTTTGCAGCCACCAGGGGAGTCCACTAGAAGATAAGGGATCACAAGTTTTCCCTCTCTAACTACGGCTTTGAAAAAAATAAAAACTTTTTTAAAAAGTTTCACTTTTAGAAGCTCAAACTCATCTTTAATGAGCATTTATAAGTCAATGATTTTGTTATGAAATAAAAAAAATTTAAAAAGCTCAAACTACCAAATGAAACAGAAACAATAGGCACGGGAGGGGGGATATAATATGGTACATATGTTGACTTTTCCTAGAGTACTAATAAGGAGATCACCTAAGCCAAGCCTGCTCGGGAAGGAGACGGCTAGAAAGACTTTCTGGAGATGGTAACATCTGAAACAAATAGAAATTGAAGCGCAGTAGTTAGCTATGCAAGAGAGAAAGAAAGAAAGAACACTACGGGGAGGTGGAAAAATGAACAAAGGCAAAGTGGAACTCTATAAACCTTACATGGCTGGAATGTCAAGTTTATAGTAAAGACTGGCAGAAGAGACTGACGGCTCCAAATTTGTTGAAGGAATTTGTATTTTGCCTGCAGGCCAATTTCAAGATCATTACTTAATCATCAAAATATTCTCACATTAAAGTTGAAAGGAGTTCAATACACAAAACAGGTCACAGAAACTGCTAACTCTGAAAAGGGGTAAGAGAACTTTGAGGATGGTGGAGCCGTATCTGTTTGACACGCTCTTTCATACTACATTCCTTGAGATCATCTGGGGGATGTAACGGGAACTGCAACACACAATTTGACAACCACTACTTTGAGTCGGAAATGATAAAAAGAAATTAAGGCAGATAAAATAATACAAATTTATTTTTTAGCTTAACCTCTATGGAGAACATGCAAATGATTACTTAATACTTTAATAAGACTGGCAGTGGGGACAGTTTTTAGAGTACTGTAATACTAGATAGGAAATAAATTCATGAATCAGGATGATGCTTTAAATAACAGCCTGTGGGGATGAGATAGAATTCTTGGATTTAGATATGAGATTTAGAGACATAAGCCAAAAAATCTTGAAAAGATTGCAAGCAAGCTAGTTGAAAGCAACATCTTTGTCTACTGTCTTGGATTTAGCTTGACCTAGTAATACAGGTTTACATGCTGACAAGTTTAAGTGTCTGTTGGTTAAAGAATTTCAGTCAAGAATTCTAATTCTTCTATTTCATCTCATTGAATAGTTCAATCTGGAATTACCAAGGATTTGATTGAAAAGTCTAACCAGTAGACTTCAGTTTCTCAAATATTCACAACTACCTATTAACATCTATCCCTGGATACAAGCAGGGCATGGGAAGGGGAGCAGCTGGAACATGAACCAGAGCCCATGTGGGATCCTCGCACATCCAAGGCGGGGATTTAGCCACCAAGCCATTGCGTTTGATCCCTTAATCAGAATTTTAGAAAATCAACAAATATCTTTAACAGCTTCTCTTTATTTGGTAGCTGGCCTAACTTAGATGCTGTATTTCATAATACAACTGACTGGTGACAATTCTGGATTAGCCAATTCCTCTTTTATCAGAAATTTCCCATTCTTTCTACTTAACTAAACAATATTTATGATCTCTATGAACATATTAGTCCAACATAGGGTATTTTAAGGCAGTATATCACAGTTGCTCATGTGATATATTTCAGTTTTCATAACTGACACATGCTTATAAAATTGCATCTCAAAATATCTCATAGTTAATATCAAAATCACAAAATATTATTTATGCCATAAATAATATAAGCAAGGAAGAACATTACAAAAAGGAAGATCAGTGACAGATTTTTCTCAATACCATTTCATAGTAGTGTTTAGAAAATGGAGAGGATGGGTTTGGAAAACAGATAACTGTTTGGTGCAATGGTTAAGACACTAATTGTGATGTCTATACCCTGTATTAGCAGATTTCCTGGGTTCAAATCCTGTCCCCATTTCTGATTCTAGCTTTCTGCTAATGGGAACCCAGGAAAGCAGCAGATGGTAGCTCTTGTATCTGAGTCTGTTACCATATAGCAAGCCTGTATTGAATTCTGGGTCCCTGAAACCAAGGGATCCAGAGCATCTAGGGAATGAATTAGTGGATGGATGATCTATGTCTTTCAAGTAAATAATGATAAATAACGATTTCTTTAAGAGAAAAAGACAAACTTGTTGAGCGACAATTTGTGAGAGAACCACTCAAGGCTCTATAATAACTGCTCTTACTCTATTCTTAAAAAAAATAATAAAAAAAGGATTAATTTTATTTATTTGGAAGGCAGGGTTACAAAGAACAACAAATAGGTATCTTCTATCTTCTGGTTCACTCCCCAAATGGCTCCAATGGCTGGGACTTGGCCACACCAGTGATTCAATTGGTCTTCCACATGCGTGGCAGGGGTCAGACACGTGGGTAATCTTCCAATGGTTTCCTAGATGCATTAGTAGGGAGCTAGATCTAAGTGGAATACCAGGGACCCAAACTGATGCCCATACGGTATGTTGACATTGCAGGTGCTGACTTACTCACTGTGCTTCCCCAGTGACTTCCTTGCTACTTCATTTTCATTCCTCTCTTTGCATTGGTAGCTGTTTTCCCTACCTAATCAGCTTAAATTATAGTAATTACTATAATCACTCCTTTCCATTTCTTCCTATCCCTTTAGCTTTTTTTTTTTTTTGCATCACATATTGTGGCAAAAAGTATAATTCCAATGAGATTCAAATTTTCAATTACTTTATCAGCAACTGTATCACTGAAATATGCCTGAATACATAAAATCATACCTGATTCTGTTTTATAGCTACAATTACAAGCCTCAAGCTACTCCTTAATTCTGCTTGGCAAACATACATTTATTTCTCTAGTCCATTCTCTCTCACAATATCTTTTTTTTTTCTCTTTTTAAAAATTGATTACATTGCATTATGTGACACAGTTTTATAAACACTGGGGTTCCCCCCCTCCCCAAACCCCGACACAATATCTTAAAAACCGTATTCCACACACTCTTTTTACACCTTCCATAGACCTTCTACTGATCCTCACTCACAGCGATCATGTTACTACTCAGAAATAAAAGAAACAATCACAAGAAAACCACTATGGGCATACCACATGCATACATGCATACAAATGTATTCATAATTTGCTATTTTCACCTTTCGCTAGAAGTCAGTCTCTCCACTTGTGCACAAGATGTCAACTTTTTTTTTTTACTAGTTTAAGGACACTGCTCCAGTCATTTCTCCCTTTCTCCTTCTTTCTTAATAATTGGGTTCTATCATGCTGTTTTCTCCCTTTAAGCAAATAAAAATCTTTTAATCCCATTTCTTTCATTACATATTGCCCCATTACTTACAACCCAAATGTAGAAAATCCCTCAAAAATATCTATCGTCTAGTCTGGTATCTTTTCTGTCATTTGCTCTTAAATTGATTTCAGATGGACACTGGCCCTTACCTTTCTACCAAAATGCTTGTCAAAGTCACAAATAAGAACCATGTTGCTAAATCCAATGAATTATAATCAGTTCTAATCTTGACATGTGGGATCTATTAAAAGTCAGAGGAAAAAATGTGTATTATGAAAAAACTACAAATTAAAAATGCTTTTACTGTCAAAACAAGTGTATCTTTTTTTAAAGATGTATTTATTTATTTGAAAGACAGAGTTACAGAGAGAGATAGAGATATTTTCCATACATTGCTGAAATTA